CTCAATTTACAGACTTTGCTAAAATACCGTTTATACCGTACTCCATACGTATGAAGGCAGACCGATGCAGACGTGACCGATTTTTTTAATCTTTAGTTCATTCTGATTTGAATTCAATGTCGTTCATAATCTGTTGAGGTCTTGAGGAATTTCCTCTTTAAGAGAATGTATTCGTTTCAATTAAAATAACCCAGTACACTCATCAAAGTCTGCCAGAATTCCGGCATAAGGCCGCATAAATCAGCGAGCGGGCGGCAATTTGTGTTTTCGCAGTGTAATAAGTTCACTTGCGCTATGCAGCCCAGATTGTGCTGTACATATGGCTGTCTAGCTACGAGTAGCTGTCGAACAAAGAATGGTTTGTTATTGTACAGTTATTTACGAATAGGAATAGATAGATTTCCAGACCTTATCCATATCCCGATGCTGTACAAGACGTATACATGTTATAAATTGGCATTTAAAGGTCACCCGCTACCAGGTATATCAGCGGAAATGGTTCGAGCAATTTTCGCTAATATTGTTTGATATCTCTTGGCTTTTGTTTTTACATGGGTTTCTTGACATTTTTCTCCCGATCGGCTTCAACAAACTCTAGTACAAACAAACTATATGTAGACAGTAGAATTACTTTACCGTAAATACTGTACACCAAGAGGCAGGCCCGTCTTTAGGTTTCTGGGAGGGGGGGGGCGCACCATTGTTCTTTTTTGAGGAGAACAATGGTGCCAGTTGCGCCAGTTCCGAATTTCCCTTTTTTTAACATGTAAGGTCCGACGCCAGTTGCGCTAGTTCGTTTTCGGAAGGGGGGAGGGCGTGCACTCCCCCCCCTCCCTCTTAAAGACGGGCCTGTCAAGAGGTATTGATCGACAAAACTGCACTTGTCTCAAGCTTCTTTTATTATGTAGTATACGTACTGCAGCAAACGCTTATTATGTACTTACAGATATGCCTCAGATTTCCTTCAGATGCGGGAGTGGAATAATTTCGTGAATTGTACAGAATATACCATGAGTTTAGTTACGAACTATTTTTCGTGAAATTCGTGAACTGTAAGTCGATCTGAGGAGACGCTAATTAATGTCGCTGCTAAGAATCTGTTTCATCTAAATATGCCGTTTCATGTTTTAATTTGACACCGGTTGACAACTTGACACCGGCATCACTCTCGTGAAAGCGATGATCTCAGAATAAATGAGCGCTGACACTCACAGCAGCGTGGTAAGTGCTCACTAATAGCTCTTTATCTGCCGCGATGATTTAGCGATGATTTATGCCGCATCAAAATTTCCATAAATCAAATATAGGCGCCACAATGCCAGGCCGTCATCCAAATTTTGGTCCAATCCACGTCGTGTTTAAGTGCTTTACGCCAATTGCCGGGATAATTTGATGTCACATGACCATGCGCCCAGTCACCAACGATCTCCAGGGGATTTAATTATGACGATTATTAACTGTCTTCTAAATATACGAAATTAATGATACTACAACAATTTTAGCTTTATTTATTTCTGTGTATTGTTACATAATAATTCTTCTAAAACGACATCTGCAAATTGTGGCAACGAGTAAGAAACATAAAAAAATAAACGTCAGCAAATTTAAAAAAGAAATTAAAAAACATGTAAGGTTTTTTATTATTTTCTTTCGTTTGTTGTTTGATAACTGCTCAAAAACTGGACAATACTGTAAAATGGTAACACGAACTTTGTATCTCCGTTACGTAATTTAAGTCCATTGCAGAAACCATATTTTACGGTGCAATCATATATTTTAATCATATTTTAGGGTGTTTCGTCAAGTATGTATCAGCACATGCACCCAAACAGTATTTTTTACCGCAATGTATAACCAACAAAACAAAAATGAACATTTGTTCCGAGACATTCGCTGCTCTTAGAAAGAAATTTATACTTTCATCTATCAACGCAAACAGAAATTATCAAAATCCGTGCATAACTAGACATGTAAGCAAATGTCATGAAACTGTGCAAACATAAATCCAGTGTTAGTAAAAACAATACAAATTCATGTCATCAAAGTCAGAAAAAACCCCTGATTACGGCTTCTGTCGTTCTACAGAGAGATCGCTACCTTTAATTTAGTTAGATTCAGTGCACTAACAAAAGGAAAACAACGGCAACCAACGGCAAACAACGGAAAACCATCAATCAACTTCACGGTTCACATCACGTCCCGCCGAGAATTGCGCCAAGGCTTTGACCATGCGTTTCTGGACGACGGTGCGCTGTTCCGGTGTCAAATAGACCAGCATGCCTTTCAAAGTGTTAACGCGAAGTGGCTAGCAACTCGGTCCTTTTGCGGAAACGGGCATACCGCCGACGCGGTACACTTTTATACTACACAGTAGCATATGCCACATAACGAAATGATTTTTGTGCTTTAAAATATGATCAGTAGTAATTAGGCATTCGTTGTTACTGAGATATTAGCTTTTAAAGTGAAAAATTTGAGGTCGATTTTTACAGAGTACAGATATGATAAAAAATATTCTGAAACGGCCATTTCAAAGACTCAAGTATTAGAAGCTTATTATACGGACAGAATTTTGATTGATAAAAAACAGAAAAAGAAAAAAAATCAGGGGTGGCAAGGAAGGGCTTGGGGCACCCTGCCCCTGGATATTTCTGACCATATCTGCCGAACAAAACCTTAAACAGAGATTCTGTCCGTATAATAAGCTCAGACTGCGGTACTGTATTTAACGCGATTTTGTTCGTATTTTTTGGTAAACAAATGTATTTACAGCAAATTCTCAAAGTTTTTTTACGTTTTGTTCACTGTTAGCTTGCAAAAGCACACCTCTTTCACGGCTCTGGTGCCGGTACCGAGAGATGCTGACTGCCGCACACAAAAGCACCTGCACATGTGGAGCAACGCAGAACAGGCAGGCAGCCATAGAACTTTCATGCAGACTGCAGAGTGCACTGTTCAGCTGATCCAGTTATAGACGCTAAAACAAAAGACTGCAATCAGACAGCAGATCTGCATTTATGGCCTCTTTGTTTCTGCTTCTTGTCAGCAAGCTCAACAAAGCTGGATGGGGCAGTTGCAGATTCTGATCGCACCTGATTGCGATTGCTGCAAGCAAACCAGCGATGTCGGCGGCGATGGCATTACTCACAATAAGTGCGGCGCAAGCAATTATTTTGCTGTTCACCTTACGTGCCCCCCTCTACCAGTTGCACAACTTTATTTTTTTGCTTGTTAACGAATCAGGATATGCTCATTACAATTATCAAGATATGTAGTAAAAAGCACGCTCTATAGGATGAGCTATGATAATTTTTGAGTATTATTTCGAAAATTCGCTAGCCACTTCGCGTTAAGGGCAAAACAAGTCACCTTACTCAGAATCGACTTTGTTTGATATTACTCATCAGGCACATTCCTAAGAGGATAATTAACTTATACTTCGTACTTTAGAAGGGTCACCGTGAAAGGCCTACGACTGGATGCGTTATGCAGCTGAATATTAATATCTCATAAATCATAATGGAGCAGCACACATTTTCTGCATCAGTTATCACTACAAGCCTAAGAAACTCGTCAAAGTCACAGGAGAAAAAGTGGAACTGGGTAAACTAGAGTTCGAGTGATTAAAAGTACAGAACTTGTTGCAGGATTATTAGTTGCATCATTTGCATGTGCGGTTGAAGAATTCACAAACTTACTTTTTGACGTAAGCTGTTTTGTACAGTTGAGGGTGTTTTAATTGTAGTAAAAAGTACTAAAAACTGCATAAGGATTAAGTAAAATATTCGTTGCAACCGCAAATGCACGGTTGCCACTGCAGGAAGTTTGATGTAGTGGAACGGCACGCGTGGCGTGGCTTGAGCTTTGGTCAGTGGTTTTTTACTACGTTTATAACAAAAAACGGTTCAACTGATTTCAAATTTTTTAATTATTCTGAAGGTATGTTTAACATGCTATACCAAAAAACCGAAAGAAAATTAGTACTGGGACGAAATACTCTAAGTCTGGCCACTTGAAGGTATATCGCCAATTCGCTTAACATAGGTGGCCCCTTGAAGGTCTTTACGGGTATGAACCAGAGCTCAGTGCCGGCTTTAATAATAGTGTCGTGTAGTTCGTAAATTCAATGTATGTACATGCAGCAATTGCGCGCCAGTATCGATTATTTGGGTAGTGTTTCGCACTATACAAACCCGGCGAACAAAAATAATTAGACAGGTACTGTAAGTTTTCACATGCATGCATAAACTTTAGGCACGGCGCTTATTTCTTTACAATCGGTGGTACATTGTCATATAACAGACTCTGTTGAAAGTGTAGTGAAGTGGCTATGGACTCTACTAATATAACCTTTCCTTCATGAATTGTGCTTTCTGTAAAACACCGCGCAGTCGCACCGCTTATTTATGTAAATTCAGTTAAAATTTTTTGCCTCTAACCGGTCGAATGTTACCGGTCATTCTGTCTTACCATGCGAGATTTTGTTAAAAGCTTGGGAACAGCTGACTGTAAACCTGTCGGGCCAGGGATAACTCATCAATTGCTCAAGGTAACTGGATACATAACTTCCAATAAAGATCAGGCAAACATTGCACACCGCAGATCTGTGACAGTTACTTTACTGCAAATAATAGCTCATGCGCAGCAAATTGGATAGAAGGCACATTTTGCATGAAAAAAGTATTGATATTTGTATGTTAAATTGTCGATGTGCTTTCCTGTTAATTATAACGCATAAGCAGTGAGCACCGACAAATATTAAAGGAAAGTAAGGCTTTTATCAGTACAGAGTAGGTTTGCTTAATACAGACATGATCACGTTTGGCCGCACATACAGTACTAAGCGGATAATTCCCGATGCATCAAACTGGATGAGTGAATTTTTGCGTGCGCTCACACTGAAATGGAAGTCAAGCACTACGGCCGCACCTTTTAACGGACTAGCTCCTACCCGCAATTTTGATGCCCTTTTTTTCCAAGTTATTTCTTTTTGTTTGTGATTTCCCCGAGCAAGCTTCTCAGCAATAATAAATTGTAAAATCGAGCAGAGCATGCTGTACAACAAAGATGTAGATACTGCGACAACTCGGATTGCTTTTTCACATAACGGATGATTATGTACTGTATAATTTTAGTAAAAGTCTATAGCGCGAACAGGCAATTCCCAGGCCAACTGTGCGAGTATAGATTATCTAAAAAAAGCGAAAAAATGGCAGCGCGCGACTGTTACATGACGTCCGCTGTGAATTCCGCCAAGGCTTTGATCAAGCGTTTCTGCACGCCGATGCGTTGTTCCGGTGTCAAATAGACCATCATGCCTTTCAGAGTGTTAACTGCAAAATCAGTCATACTGCTCACAACTGACTTCGTTTGATAATAATCAGCAACCACAATACCATCGTGAAAGGTCACCGTGAAAAGGTACAAGTATTTCCGATGCATTAGTGCAGCAGATATTGTTGATGCGCTTGCTAGTTGTATACACACATGCCGATTATTGTATACGCACACGATTATTGTGTACAGTACATACAATGTCATGCCGATTATTGTATATAAGGGGCGAAAGTAAACGCGTTCCACCGTTCCCCTGTACTGCTGCCGTCACCCGCCTGGAGTGTGACGTTACGGCAGTACATATGGTTAAATCTGGCGCGGTAGGTAAGCGCCATGTTCAGCCACAACGTCAAACTCCAGTCGGGTGACGGCAGCAGTACAGGGGAACGGTGGAACACGTTTACTTTTGCCCCTATATACGCTGTATATACGCATGCCGCTTGTACTTACAAAATGCAGAATAATTGCTCTCCATGCTCGTTGCGGGATCCAGCACTAGCGCAGAATCCATGGCCGGTGACGCTAGTGATGCTGTGGCTGCACGTCCAGACTCGCCTTGCCACATCCGGTCAAACTCGTCCACATCCAGCGGGCAGTTGTCGGCGACAGTGTCTGGCAGTGCCGTTTTGTCCACGCTAACGGATTCCTCCGCACTGGAGCTGCTGTCGTCGCTAACCAATCGGACGCGTTTGGTAGCAGCCGCGCCGCGTGTCACTCGTCTCCTTAGCGAAACCCTCGACTTCGTATTAAAGAAATGAAATAAGTAAGTGCAGTACAGCTATTTGTATACGTAACTATAACGTAAGTAGTAGGTAAGTACGCAATAATTTTATTTGTTACAGTCCATATGAAAATTATTACCAAAGCCGGCAAAGCGTATTATAGTGAAAATACTACCATAGTTACTAGCTGGACATGCAGAGTATATAATTTCCTCGATGGCTACATTATCAAAACCAGTTGCGGCATTAAATTTTCTCTATGAGTACGTATTTTGTGTCAATTTTTGGCCGAATGTAGGGTTGCATGAAGGACAATCTCTCAAAATACCGCCATGGTGGATTGTACGCGGTCCGCCCGGATCGCGAACGCTCCGCTTGGTGTCCCAGACGGACAGCGTAAGAGACTTTCAAGTTTTTCCACAGTGTGCGTACTTTCTTGAACTCATCTGCAGCATCATCCTTCTGTTAGTTCTATCATAAAAGAAATGCTGGTACACGCAGCATACAACTTGAAGCTAAATTTGTACACTGAGGATGTCCCAACGCAGCCGTGATCAACTTCCATTCGTCCTCCTTATCTTCCGCCATGGCCTCCTGGTACAGCGGATCATCCCGTTTCCACAATTGCGGTTGCTTCTTCACTAGATCGATGAGTTTATTCGTCCAGGCCGGGTTCATACGGTGCCTGTGAGACACGGGCTGCACGGGAGGGTTCGTCATTCTAACTGCGGAGAATTATCGTGGCAGAGAAATCTTTGTCGCCAGGATATGCAGAATCAGCGGACTGCAGATTTTCGAAAGTTTAATGTACAACCGGAAATGGAATTGTAAGCAGTTTGTGGTATCCCTCGTATAACAACTGCCATAGGCGTTTATAACTTTGTACACACTAGTCACTACGAAGTGGAATAGACTGGCGGTGTTTCGTTTCATGCTGAGCTGTAAATTTGAAATTTTGAATCTTAAGCGGGCAAATTGTTGGGGACTGTATACAATCTGTGTATACAACTTCTTGCAAGTACTTCTTGCAAGCTGCAAACTGACTTCACATAATATGCGTTTTTCATACGCACGAAGGCAGACTGATGCAGACGTGACGGATTGCAATCTTTAGTTTATTCTGATATGGATTCAAACCATTCAATCATTTCAGTGATATGGAGCAGTTCGTGATCGCCGTGTGGTTCTCTCTACTTTGAAAGATGCCACAAACAGACACGATGACTTGTATTCGTTTCAAGTGATAACCCTGTACACTCATCAAAGTCTCCCAGAATTCTGAGATAAGGGTGTATGAATCAGCGGATGGACGGCAATGTGCGTTTTCGCAGTGTTAAGTTCATTGTATGCGATATTCCGCTTATGGCAGCCCGCTAGCCGCCAAACAAAAAAATTGTTGTTTTTTGTACAGATAGTTACGAGTAAGTGGATTAGCGGACCAGTCTGCGGCCAAATATACTGGTACTTAAAGGTCATCCGCTACCAGTTATTAGCGGAAATGGCTCGAGCAGTTCCCGCTCACTGATATCTTTTGACCTTCAATGTCACAAGGGTTTTCTTCACATTTTTCTGCCAATCGGCTAAAAAAATCTCTAGTACAAACAAAAGGAGAGAATAACTTTTATTAATGCGCTGTCTGTCAAAAGCCCTCGATCGACAAAACTGCACTTGTCACGGCTTCTTTGATTACGTACTGCAGCAAACGCCTATTATCGCATAATTACAGATAGGTATGCTTCAGATTTCCTGCATACTGTAGATGAGTGAAAAATTTTTGTGAATATCACAGACTACCACGAGTGAACTCGTCAAGATGGTTTTCGAGGTTGATCTGAGAAGACGCTAAGACGCTTGTTAATAAGAAGACGCTTGTTAATAATCTGTTTCATCTAAATATGCCGTACATATTTTAATTTTGCCGATTGACACCGGCATCACTCTCGTGAAAAGGATGATCGGAGAATAAATCTGCGTTGATACTCTAGCATCGTGCTAAGTGGTCACTAATGACTCTTTGTCTGCCATTCGCGATAATTTATGCCGCATCAAAATTTCCATGAATCAAATAAAGGCGCCACATTGCCAGACCGTCATCAAAATTCTGGTCCAATCTACGTCGTGTTTAAGCGCTTTATACGCCAAGCGGGGATAATTTGATATCACATGACCATACGCTCAGTAACCAACGATCTCCAGGGGATTTATTACGATTTATTTATAACGTTTACCTTCTAGGTTCTAAATTCTAATATACAAAATTAATAATACTGCAATATTTTTAACCTCATCTTATCTGAATATGTCATTTACATGATAGTTCTTAGAAAGCGACTTTGGTAACTTGTGGGAACGAGTAAGAAACATAAAAAAACATTAACGTCAGCAAATTTAAAAAAGAAGTTAAAAACATTTTAAGGTTTTTTTATTATTTTCTTTCGTTCATTGTTTGATATCTCCTTAGGATCTTCATGCGGATGCATGGCTCCATGTGAAAACTACAAATTTATATGCTCTTATTTATCAACGCAAACAGAAATTATAAAAATCCGTGCATAATTAAAACAGGGAGCAAATGTCATCAAGTTGAGCAAACATATCCAGCGTTAGTAAAAACAATAAAATCCATGTCAGAAAAGTTAGAAAAGAAAGCCCCGATTACAACTTCTGTCGTTCTACAGAGATCGCGACTCATAGTTAGATTCAGTACACAAACAAAAGGAAAAAAAAGGCAGAAAATCATAAATCAAATTCACGGTTCACATCACTTCCGCCGAAAATTCCGCCAAGGCTTTGACCATGAGTTTCTGCGCGACAGCACGCTGCTCCGGTGTTAGGAAGCCCATCATTCCCTTCACGGTGTTATCTGTATCAAACAGGTAAAAGTCAGAACACAACCGCATTATAAAAAAAGCATTTTATTAATTAAATTTTATTTTATTGAATTCCTTATTATTATTATTTTTGAATTATTATTTAAAAATCGTATTAATTTTCATCATTTTTTAAAATTATTATTTTTTATTTTACTTTACTTCTTTATTATTATGTTTACTTAACGTTTATTATAACGATCTTTTCGTTATTAATAATGAAAGCGGTAAAAAATTGCCGGTGAAAGCCTTGAAAAAAGTGCTTTTCTTTGAGCTCCGAAACTTGAAAATGATATGCATTTAAATTGATTTAACAGCCGCAAAATTGCCCGAAAACTGCCCCAAAAGGTTTAAAGATTCAAAACAAAATAAAAAAATTACATTCACAGCTGATTATTAAAAAAATCCCAAAAATCGATGTAAAAATAAGTATTTAAAGACAGGCAGGTTAAGCGGTGAGTTGTTTACAAATATTAAAGCCGTAAGCCTGATCAAAATTTAAAAGTACGAGTACTTACAGAAAGCCGCGTACTCGTCGTCGACGTTAACGGGCGGTAGCGCGGTCGTCTCGCCCATCCACTGCCGTGCAAAATCCACGACATCCCCCTGCTCCGTGTCGGCCGCACCGCCCGCACTGGACGGCTCTGCTGCGACGTCCGGCGCGGTGATCTTGCTCTTCACAAGCGGAAGTGGGGCGTCATTCCCATCCGCCGGCTCGTCCATTTCCGCATCGCTCTCGGCCGACTCCTGGTCGCTGTCATGCACCGGCGTATGCGCTCTACGCCCTCCCACCGACTTCCGAGCCACCCTAATCGAAATACTTAAAATGCTTTCTCTGTTTCACATGATTCACATCAGCCGTATTGCTTAATTAAAAATTCTCCATGCCATTTCTGTTAAGCACCTATTCGTGTACAGTAATAAACTTGTACCAGTAATAAAAAAATATCTATTTTAATTCATTTAAGTTAATGAAATTATTTTAAATAGTTTTATTGGATTTTTATTATTTTAATTCGACCATCCACAGAGTACTCTGTACCGGCCATCAAGGTAAGGCACAGCTACATGTATATGAATTTCATCTCTATGAGTATCATCAGTTTCCAAGCACTCAAATTGTAAACAAATTTTATTTTGATTTTTTTAAAAACTTACATATCTTCTTTTAATAGAAATGCCATTTTCCATCATAGCAAAAAAGTCACTTTGCCTGCATAACTTTGACTGGAAAACACAGAATTACGTACTGCGTCTTATTTAACGTGCTACTTCCGCCCGCTGCGGACTACTGCAGATTTGTACGAACTACGGATTTATAAGCACAATGACACAAAATAGAATAAACATACTAGTAATAATTCCTCGTCTTTTAGTTTTGTATAACGTCTTTACTGTACCGTCATACGGTTATCTATTAACGTAACAAGCATATATTTCTATGCGTTTCAATTTAATTTTTATCTCGAAAATGTATCAACGTACACTTGTGTGATTTTTACCTGGGCCTTTCACAGGCGACTGCTCGCGTGTACGGCAAGAGAAAGGACATCAGCTGATGGCGCCAGTGTGTGAATTCCCGCACGTCCGGACCTTGCGATCCTTTGGCCATAAAATACGTACGCATATTTTGCCAGGCTTCCCGCACTGCCAGGTGATCCGCTACGACGCCGTTAACCGAAATCAGCTACTGAATAACTCGGTAATTAAGTAACATACCTGTTTTAGTACTTAATATTTAATTTAACTAATTATTGTTAATACAGAATAATTACATAACTAATTACTGTTAATTACTGTACAGAGGGTGAGCCACCCACATTGGCACACTTTTGGTAGGAAATTATTTGTGAGTTCTAGACTCAAGTTCTTTTAAATCCGCTGATGCAGTTTTTTCCCTTAGCGTTCTGTGAACGGAAAACAACTAATTTTCCATGAAGATATTGCGCGCACGTGACATAAAGTGACCACAAGTGTCCGCGACCGGCGAAAAAAACGCAGACAAAACGTTTCACTTTGTATTTTTGTTTTTCAATGATTATTAAATGAAGCAAGAAGTTTTTTGGTCACATTCAGTTTCTAATTTTAGAAGATTTTAAGGGCTATATGAAAAAGTATAAAGTTGTGTGAAATCCTTTTTCAGGATCCCGAGAGAAAAAATCAGAAGTATTAAAAAATTGGGGATTTACACTTTCAATTAAGCGGCTGCCTTTTGCAGTGGGAAACTCGTGGCAAAAAAACCGCCGATGCCGATTTCGCTTTGATATAAACAAATATTTATTTAGACAGGCTTGTAGAAGATATTCTATGAAATTCAGGACGAATGGACAATAAGTTAGAGAATGGCAGATGTTTTCTGGACTTCCGGTCAGTTTTGGGAGCCGATGTCCAGAAAAACTCAACCATGGCTTTGATCAAAACCGAATTACACTTGTCTTAAAGAGCATTGATTCTTTAACATCTTAATGCATTTCGTATGTAATGATCGGTAAAGGGGGATTTTCAGGAATTTGTTTTGCGAAAGGCATTCCAGTTTTGAAACGCACTGCTTTTCTACCCCGCTCCAGGTTTTTCTTCCTGGATTTTGAAAGACATCTTTTACTAAGCTCAGATATATTTATCAAGTACAAAATACCCCAGGCTATCGGGTAATGTTTTTGAAAAAATTGTTGAAGACGAAAGGAAGTTTTAAAAAATCAGTTTGTGCAGTGTGCCAATGTGGGTGGCTCACCCTCTGTATAAATATTATTTTATCAATTAATTAAATATAATTTATTAGAACAATACAAATATTATCTGAGATATCAGGCCTCACATCGCGGATGGCCCAAGCGAGCCGTGATGGATTTCCACACATCATCACGCTTGGCTCGGTTCTTCAGCTCGTGGTAGGACGGATCGTCCGTTTTCCACAGGCCGACATTCTTCTTCACCAAACCGATTAATCGACGCGTCCATTCTTTATCCTTGCGATGATTCTGCGTGAAGGGTTCAGCCCGTTCAGGTACCATGAGTCCGGCAATCAATAAACCGTTGGGTCGAGAACACATGATCACCAGAAACAAGAAAGTCACTGGTGTGAGTGGTGTCACAGAAAAATAGTAAACCACGGTGATCGCGGAAAGAAAAATGGGAAAACGAAAAAGCGGACGAAGACAGAACGCTCAGAATGCAACTAAACGACGTAGCTCCCGCGAAAAACATGAAATGAATAAAAATCAGAAAGAATCCAAGACGAGTAATTTTGTAGCGCTAACCGGCTAACGGCTAAATCGCTCAACTGAAATTAAAGAACTGTTGAAAAAGTGAAAACATCGACCTGAAAACTCCAAATCAAGGAAAACGGCGAACTGCGAGTCAGCCAGTGCACTGCAACCGCTTCCCTTGGCGGTCTGGGTTTTCGTATGATGAAGTCAGTAGCGCAACCGCCCTCGGCAACGTGGAAGCAGAGTTAACCCTACAAAAAGCTTCTCTTCGGCACGTGACGCTATCCAGGCAGCTGCGATTTCTGTTTACGGTTTGGACCGTTTGGTAGATATCTGTAGATCACCGTTAATTTTGGCACGTGTTACTGATCACGGGAAAGAAATATTACAAATAAATTCCAGATTTTTGGTTGCTCTTTACTGAACCCCATCGTTCTGTGGGCTACCGATCCCAGAATGTTACGCGTATTGCTATCCCGCTCATCCCCCTTGGCGCGCAGTGGCGCACGCGCTGTCAGCTACAAACCCGACTGCAACACCTCGCGTCGCACGGGCAACCTAGAATCCTGGCGTCCGGACTACCAGAGCTACGGCGGTTTCCGACAGGATTACCCCGAAATCCGCTGGCCCGCCTGGGTGGGCTCCGCGGCCTGGTTTGGCTTTTTCGGGACGTGCGCCGCCATCTGGATCTTCAACTATTACTTCGTTATGCCGCGCGAAGAAGGGCGACTCCGCAGAAACTACCCCCAGGAGGAGCGCGAGGAATGGTCCAAGAAGCACCACCTTGTTCCGCCCGGGGAGAACTGGAACAAGGGATATTATTAGATTTCGGGCACGGCGATTGTGGTATGGTGGGGAGAAAGGATTTATTGCGTTTACGAAACTGTGTGCATCGTTTACTCGTGCATTTCGTTGTATGTGTACATTGGAAATTTCTTATGGCTGTGAAACATGGCGCAGACGATGTAATTCTGTATTGGCATTGTGTGCAGCACGTGTAAGTACGGGCGCCTTATGTGAATAAAATCTTTACGATAATATGGTTGAAATTATTAATTATTAAAAGCATCTTGTATTTCTTGTTACCAGTGTTAACGTTATGGGACTTCTGGCGAACAAATTCTATCTGTTCTGGTTGAAGTTTAAAATGCATCTTCGCGCCGTGTTTTTAAAGAAATGCTGTAAATAAAAAAAACGGCTAAATGTATCGAAGGCCTTGACTAGACTACGAGTACTTAAGCGTACTGATCGGAGTAGAAAATCAATACAAAAATGCAAGTACAATCAAAGCTTTTCCTGCCGCTTGCAAAAACGCATTACTTTTCTTGTAATTTCCAAATTTATGGAAGTAAATAATAGATATCCCAAAACACAAAAATGGTACTCAAATCTTTACTGCTGTGCATGGTAATTTCAAAAAAAAATTCTGATAAATTAATTTTAATCAGTGTTTAATTTCACAGAAATATTCATTAACTTTGGCAGAAGTATTGCTGATTAGCTCGATTAAAAGCGCACCGACCGATCGTCAATCGTGTAAATTTTCACAGTAGTTCATTTCTTCCAGATTTGAACAAAATTAAATTATTTCCAGATGACCGTCCAATAAAAATTTCACCATGTGTTCCCATTATAACAAATCGCATTAGAGGAGACTGATGCCTGCATCATACAAAGATACAGGCATTCATCGATGCCAGTTTAACATGTTAAGTGGAAAACGCAAAATCTGTGATTACACCATTACGGAAAAACAACATTTTAATAAAAAAAACAGAATTTTCTCTCTATTCCGCATCGGGAGCGCCTTCGTCTCCGGCCGGTACGGCGCCCGTGTCGGGCACATCCTCCTCAAAGTCGTCATCGCCGGCCACTTCGCGGTTGGCCAATTCCAGCGCCTCCAGCTGTTTGGCTAACTGCGTCTCATCCGTATCTGTCACCACTTTCGGCTGTAAGAAGACACAACACCCATAAATCATAATAATATGATATCATCTCATAATTATAAATATTCTATTAAGTTTACAGCCTAATTAATTGAGTAAATGCTAACACTTTCAAGTTTCAAATACCCGTGTTAGTCGACCAAAATAAGTGTACGGTAAGTACATGTTTTTCCGGTACCAAACCAATTATTAAGGCAGTCACCACGAAATAATTAGCAAATAATCATTTACCACGATATCGGTAAAAAAGTAGTGCATATGAATAGCCCGTTACAGCCGCGTATACTATTCGCGCCTCTGTAGCCTTCATATGCACTACGCTAAAAACAAGAGAGCGTTGTGCAGTAATTCAAATTTTAATTAGCGAATTATTAGAAATGGAATGAATTTTTTGCACCTCATGGAATGCATTCTCATTGCTGAACACGTAAGTACCGAAAAACGTAGTGTGCTGGCTAATAATCAGTTTCTATCATCAAGTAAATTCTACATTCAGCGAAAATTCTTAATACTAAAACCACCTGAGTGAGCATTTAAAATCTCGCTTTTTCACACTGCAATTTCTGCAATCTACCGGCCCATACCTTGTACAATACTGCCAATACACAATCATCTGATTATTATATGCGCAATCAACCCATTATTAGCTCATAAAGTTCTGTTCATTTTTCGTGGTGATTACTGGTGAAGGGCTGCACATATGTAATTTGAACGCTCATCCCAAGGAAACAAAAGACTCCAGTACGGTACGGTAATTTTTCCTTCACCGTAAAACAAGAACGACTCCGTGTGCTTACCGCCATCTGAATGTTGAAGCGTCCGCGGTACTTCTCACTCTCAATACACTCCTTGACGGCCTTGAGCGCCTTCTCCAGCAGGGTCAGGCCCTCCTGCCGCTCCAGGGTGGTGGTGGTCATGACGTACACGGGCGGCGCGATCAGGTTGATCTTGATGGGGGCGTCCTCCGAGGAGAGCGCCAGACCGGCGCGCAGGGCGGCCTTCACGGCGTCGATGCCGTCGTAGTTGTAGCAGGCCACTTCCATGTCTATGCGCACACACAACCCATCAAATATTACAGGTACGAAAAGACTGATAATTACCAAAAGAAAGAAACCGTGGAACCACTGAAAATCTCGATTTGTTATCATGTTCAGCTATCTGTTGAAAATTTGAAGGATATCACAAGGCGAGTAAAATTTTACGCAGAATATTTGAAGTTCGTTTCCACGGATTTTCCTAAACTACTTCCTTCGCGGTTAGAAATCATAGCAACTTCCTTAACCGTAAATAATCATAATTTATGTATGTAGCTGTACTTCGCACATAGCGCATTTTTTAGCAATTTCCGTTATCCACTATTTTACCTAAAACAAATAATATTTTACTTTTCTCGGTTCAGAATAATTTTACGTGTTAAAATTACCGTCGGTATTCATTGCTTTACTGCTTATTCAAAAATGCAGCAAAAGTTAGGCCTGCGTAACTGAATCGAATTAATTTTACTGCTTTTGTGAAAACCTGCGGCAGTTACTTATGCTGACAAAAATTAGAAAATAATCCAACAATTACGTAAACTATGGAAGTACGAGTACGTACACAGAAAAAAGCCAGTTGAATTTTAACCAGGCTAATCACAGTTCGTCTGTACCTGCGCGGACTTTTACCGCCTGGGGAGTGAGACGTCGTTTAATGTTGGCAATCAGCACTTCCTTCGTTCGTTCATCCAAATTGCACTCATCCAGGATGGCGGGATCACTACGTCAACAAATAACGCACGTGAGCATAATAAGTACTTAAACGAATTGAAAACATAATTATTTACAGCTGCAGTAACAGTTTAATAAATCCTTACGCAATCCAGGAAAATAAAATCAGAAATGTTACAGAAACCGGCTCTCTAATTAATTAGCTTTTAGTGACTGCCGCTGACTGGAATATGTAAATTATTTCTACGAAATAATATGACACACAACGAAGATGTACGTATCCCGTAAATACTCGTAATTAAATCAAACAGAGCATGATAAAAAAGTAGCGAACACAAATTCAAAACGAGTTTACAGTTATTAATGAGATTTCAAGTATAATTCACACAACCGCTGGCCCAAAGAAGATCAGGCATACTGGTACTAAGGCCACTCTACTACATAATCCCTGTACAACTGGATTATCTTGTGCGGCTGATTGTGAAGAAAACTGCAAACGCTAACAAAATAAAAATTAATAACAAACAGCGATTTCGCGGAAGAAACTCAAAAAATTACTTATTACTGGATAATTTTTCCAAAATAAACAGGAGAGAGATACCGACGCCCCTTAATTCTGATGTATCAAAAATTCTAATTACGAAGAATTAAACACTGGCTTACGTAACGGCGTGCTTGAAAACATCATAGCTGGCCGCCTGCTTCTTGAACTTCTCGTCGAAATACCAGGCCGTCTTCCAGTGTAAATCCTCCAATTCCTGATCCGTCTTGTAATGCAGCACCTCCGCCGTGTGTCGCAGAATACTGTTTACCTGCGGAAAAAAAGAAAAAAAATTAGCAAAAAATAAATACAAAATTAGCGAACCCGAGCGAACTCACAGACTTGGCTTTGGCGAACTTCTCCTCGGCTTTGATGATATCGGCTGGGGAAACGCGTCGTTTGGAGAGATCAATATACCCTAGCCATTAAAAACACAATTCCGTGATGCTGCGCTGGAAACCCCGTCTGATGCAATCGCGGAAACCGCGTCGCACGAACCTTTCTCCTTATCCACACGAATCACCACCACGACTTCACTGCGCCCGACACGGATGAGTTTGTTGATGGAACGGATGCGGCGACGACTGAGTTCCGATAGCAGGATCATACCTAGATGAAGATAGGAATGGGAGGAAGCTGCAGGCAGCGAAGCGAACGCTGATAGCACAACGAACCTTCTGTGTCGTTGTACTCCTGCAGATCGACGTAGGCGCCCATCTCCTGGATGGAGCGCACATTGGCCAGCACCACTTCGTCGATCTCCGGGTAGCGCTGCGCGTAGAAACGACATTTCAGCACCATTCTGGTGGAGTGTAAGGGGGAATGGATGGAGAAAACTTGTCAAAATCTGGATGAAACTTGGATGTTGATAAAATTGGATGTGGTGCAGATTTCGCCGATAAAACACGAATGCGATGCGTCGTCGAGTAATGCCGTTGGCGATGCCAGTTCCATTTACTGAGAAGCAGTGGATTGGGTTTGGTAACGACAGGCGCCGGAAATGGCAGGCACTGCCAGGCAGCACTGAGCACAGTGACGCCGAACACCAAAGTCGATGGTATTGGAAATTCGTTGAGCAGTTTCCGGTGGAACTGGAAAGCCCAATTTGCTGCTATTTCTATTTTCGTTTTGGTTGGAAAGTCTTTTTCACAAATTAATTTCGCTCGGATTTTCAGGTTTCATGTTTGTTCGCGTTTTACGAAATTTTACGATCTTGATTCTTGTACCTTGTAGATTATAAGTTTTTCAGCCGTTCTGCGTTGTCGGATTTAACCGTCGATAGTGGTTAATTCGTCTGAAAAATTTTATTTTAAATTTTTATTTCACAGCTGGCATTAGCCGCATTACCAACTCGAACAGTGGGAGTTCTCAGTTGTGCGTCATTTGAAAACTTTGGTTCTTTGGGCTTACTCTTGCCTGTTCATCTGTGTTGATTTGGGAATCAAGGTTTTCCGAAGACTGGACACTTAGAAATGAGCGTCTTCGCCAGCGATCCCGATTTTTGCGGCAACTGTGGCTCCATTTTACCCGTGGAATCGGGATTATCGATCCTGCAGTGCCAGAACTGCGGACACAAAGTCGATCTCTCCAGTGAGCGCTCTCGAATCTTGCTAGCAAACTGGCGAACCAAGAACTTCCGTTTCTTTTTCTTATGCACGGTGTCGTTGCAGCGATGCAGCACGTGGCCAGAAAATCGCGCATCTACCTGAACACGGGCGCCAGCCGGAGCACCAGCCAGGCCGTCACCAAGTACGACGGACCGATCGCCGAGCGGAAATGCGGCAAATGCGAGCACTTCGGCATGGCCTATCTCACGCTGCAGCTGCGCTCGGCCGACGAAGGCCAGACCGTCATCTATACCTGTCCGCGATGCGGGTACGCAACATAACTGGTAGATTATTTTTCTTTTATTTTTGGTCGAGGAAAATGTAATTTATTGGATTGCTAATTGTCGCAGTACACTTTGATCGTTTGAAATTTCGCATATTTTGCAAGTATTTCGTTGTCAGTATTTTCTCCTGTTTTAGTGCTTACATAGATTGGTAATTAATACACACTTTGGAACAGGCTTTGAGTTTTTGGGAGGCTGAGCATGTATTTATGGGTTTTTTTAATTTTGACTTTTGATAGCTTGGCAAACTCAGAAATAAGTAACCATTTTGTAAAAATTTGCCAAGTTAATAAATGAAATGAATGTTTTAATTTTTTTGCAACGATTGTTTTTTTATTTATTTATTTATTGTCACTTACTAAATCTGATTTCGTTAGCTTGTTTGATTTTTAAATCAGCAAACCATTCCTGGAATGATTTTTGTAACATTAAATGATTAAAATAACTTAATTTTATGCGTCCTGTAATATCGGATAGAGTGACGGCTAACGTAGAGTAGCGGCTCACCTTACACACGGTTGGGATGTCGGTTTACTGAATTGCTTCGCTTAATTTAAGAAGCTGTGAAATTCTGATTTTCATTTGATTTAATAAATTTTTTGCATATCATGGAATTTTGACATTGCTAGGCTGTATAATTTTTAGTCTTATGATACCACGGAGAAACTTTAGATCACAAGTAAAAAAAATCTACCGTTTTCGCTGGAAGGATTTAGATTTGGAATTTGGAACAATTTGAATTTGGATTAGAAAACAATTAGATTCGTCGGTACGACAACCAGCTTATTGTGGTCTAATTACGCTTTCTGCCATTTCTTTCGGTACAGTATTTCCAAGCGTAACAAAATATGATTTATGTAAGGCTTGTAAGCAGTAACATCTGTAGTGCGTTGATTAGTTTTAATCTCTTTTATTATTTTCTTTTAATTATAGCAAGCCCCAGATTGCATGTCGAGTACGCACTGCGCAGCAGGGTAATTGTTGGCTGATCGTATCATCGTAGTACAGTGGTTGTGGAAGTGTTCAGCCATGTTGTGTACGTGTGTTACGGTGTGTAATTTGATACATGTTCTGATTGTTCAACGAAAGTCAGAAAATAAATATTATAAATTGTTTTCTCAGCGGAAATTTTTTTTTATTATAGGTGTAAGGATATCGAGAACAGTTGATCTTGGAATATGGGCGAATGTACCGTACACTGTGATAAAGTATTGCTGTTAAATTCTCCGTGATGTACGTTGAATTTTGGTCTGTACTTTGTCAGTCTTTGCATTTTCGCTTTCCGGGCGAACCTGTTGTATGGAATAAAAATTTCCGCTACAAAAAATACGGATTATTTTGTATGAATGGCAGATGAATTAATCGTTGACGGAACACTGCATTCTGATCGAATAAAACTGTCACGATAGTGCCACGAATTCTTTGTAGTGGAAGCAGGAGCTGTTGTTGCTTCAGTCGGTAGATTGAAAATTTCGTTGTATTTTCTTAGCAACCATTTTTTAAAATTTGTTCAATAGTAACACTTCATAGAAAATTGTCTTCCCTGCATTACGGAGTACGCTGTACTTGCATCGTATGTATGTATTCATAATAATTTAAATTTAAATAATTTACTTGCTTTGTATGTAGTGCGCTTCAAATCAGTCGTCAGCATTGTAATAAGTTCTTGCAGTAATTTTTGAGAAATTTTTAAGTCACTGTTCATGCAGTTTTAATGTTGTCGCTGCACAATCCGCTCTTATCTCCGTTGACGGGCATTGTGGGATTCGGCGGACAACGACTGGATTATGCGGTTATCTCCTGCACATCCCAGAGTGATTTGTTTCCGGCTAGCAATTTAGCCTGCGGTAGTGGTACTCCCGGATGGGTATCCCAAGAGTAAGCGTGTCACAGAAATGTAAAAATTCAAACCTGACAAATCTATTCTGCATGATTGATAAATTTATTATTGTATTTATTTTTTATTTATTGAATATTTCACCTTGTGTGTCCTTTGCCATATTTTCTTAGACGCAACTGAAAATTGTGTCTTGTAATTTGTCCGCTCGCTCATTACGCTAGATAATGTTTGAGTTTTTCGAGTTTAACAAAAAATACGTTTAATTTGGATTTTTTCCATTTATTTTGGTTAATACTTAAGTCCATTGTTCTTTTTTAATTTTAGAATTGTAAGAAGTGTTTTTTTAAATTTCAACCTACACTATCTGCAGGTTATGTACGTATCCCCAAGCGCTGGTTCTGGATCTGTCGTGGCCGTGTATGGTCACTGCCGTCCACGTTATCGCCCATCGATTCTTCATTCGTAGGTTGCATATTCTTTATTGTGATTTGGTGTTTTAAAAATTTATTTGAGTAATTATTCTGCGTTACAGCCACAATTGTGGATCTGCATGCGCTCAACGGAATAAGCACGGAGCAGCGTTTTCCGTTTAACACCACGGGAAGCCAGTGCGTTCCGATTGCGTAAGTCATCCGGCGTGATCCTTCTAATTTTCTGATACCGCATCTGCAAAGCCGTTAATTGAGCGAAAAGAATAAGCGGCTGTCTATGAAATTTACGTTCAACTAATTTTCCTCTTGCTTTGTTTCTTTTCTATTTTACTTTGTTTTTGGTTTTTTTCTAGACAGTTGTAATAGCTGAAATGTAATTTGCAGCGGTAAACATTGCAGTTTATGTTTTTAACGTAAATAAACTGTACTTCTACAGTAGTGCACTTTGATGTTTTCTCTTTTCGTTACGATTTAAATAATTATTTAATTTAATTTAAGATCATATTATTGAATTTATTTATTATTTTAATTTGCTGTTGTTGCTGGTTTTTGTGGTACTGCAAAATGGACAGAATCCCGTTTGCGTTAGACAGTTCCACTTTGAGCCGGTGGACAGCGGGCAGCCGGCATGGCGCCACCAGCAGATGACCTTTCAGCCGGCGCTGCCGGTGGGACGCTGGCTGAAGGTCACGTGCCGCTACTACCACCCTAGTCCCAACAATCTTTATAGTCAGGTAAAGTGGGTGAAATTAATCCGCCTTCTGAATCACAGAAAACGTTGCAAGTATTCGGCTCCAAAAGGTGTTTTGCTGAATTAGGTGGGGTTGACGTGCGTTGAAATTTGTGGCCAAAAGGTTAGTCGGTTTTATACCGGCGAACAGTAAAATCGTAGTTAGTTGCAGTTTCCAGATTACATAATTTCACGGCTTTCGCGAGATTATGTTTATTGGAAAGTAAATTATTCCGTGATTATCTTTATTATAAGAATTTTTTGTGAACTGTTTGATCTTTATCTTCAGAATTTTCAGGATTAAATTTTGTTAAATCAGTTCGCTTAATATAGTTAATACAGGATAATGTTGTTTGCAGATCGCCTCCTTGGGACCACAAAACATGACGCATCCCGGCGCCCTGGTGCCGCTGACCATGCGTTCGGGTTGGCGGAACGATGTTGCCACTGCCGATGACTATGCGAAAACCAGTAATATTTTCATGGCGGAAAAATCCAGGACGGCAGCATTCAAGCCCGGGAAAGACGCCACCACCGTGCAGCAGTTGCTGGTCAGTTTGGAGAATTACAAGCAAGCAGCTGTCGACGGTACTGTTCTTAACCAACATTTATCATGGTCGGGTATAATGCTTTGTCCGAATTATTGATATATCTTTTAGCGGAGGATTTTCGCCGTGCCGGATCTGTCAAGGCAGTTACGGATGAGATCGCTAAAGTACGTTTGGGCAACATTGGTACAAGTAATAACTGCTAAACAATTTTTGTTATTTTATGATTAATGTATACAGTTCGTTTTTTTTCATTTGTACTAATTTTTATCTGGGTATTTTAACTTATTAAAGCATTTATTTTTATTTGATTTTGTGTTGTGGGTTCGTAGATGTCACAAGAAGCAGACGCTCTCGAGCAGCAAAAAAGACAGCGCTATCGAGGAAGAGAATTTCCGGTTGGCGGACAACTTGAAATATGACATCCTCAAGCTGACAGTGAAAGCCATGAATTTATTAAAAGAGCATAATTACGGCAACTTACTCGAGGTCGGTAAAATGGATGAGCGATGGAAATTATCTATAACCTGTACTTGGAACTACCACTGACTATGAGCTTGAAATTTTAGAAAACTTTGACAACGAAATGAGTTAATACGGTAGTTACTGTAACTGTTGACCACGCTAATAATTTTAAAATTATTAATGAAGTTTTATTGAGTTTATATGTATCGTGGCATATCCCACGTCATTTTTTTTAGTTGCTTGCCAGCCACTACACTACGATGCCGTCGACAGGGTACATTTCTTTTAAACCAGCTACTGCAGCATTTTGTTATTGTTTTCGCCTTGTCAGATCCATCCAAAATATTTCCGGCCTATTCCCAGCGTTATTTTAAACGAATACCGTGCATTATGTGCTGCTGCTTTCAGCTAGAAAGGACAACTACGCCGCCTGGAAGAGATGTTAAAAAAGCGGACAATGCCGGAGGACGGCGGTGTCCAGCGTACACCGGCCGAACGCGACATCCACACCGTGCAGTTTCGTGATCACGCGGTGCCGCCGGAGTTCACACCGGCCACGCCCACCAGCAGCGCCCGCCGCAGCACCTTAATGAGACCGCGGGAAGGCAGTCGGCTGTCGACCACTCGCGATGGGATGTTCATTCAGACCGCCAAAAAAGCGCAGGTGACGGTATGGAAAATTTGATCCATTATCCTTCATCGGTTATAATTTATGAGTGATTTCTGTATCTGTTAGGATGTATTTGTGGACGATCTGTGTATAATTACTTTTTATTTATGCGTTTATAAATAATTCTTTTTTTATAAATATCATTTTTATGTACCTTTTCTGGGATTTTATGTTTTCGTTTAAAAAATAATTTATGGTTTTAAGTTATAAAATTTTATATTAATTGCTTTAGGTTTTGCATTGGTACTGGAGCTTTTTTAATGACCGTAGCGAATTGAAGATGTAATTTTATAAGTTAACCGCTGCGTCCATGTTTGTAGCGTGCGCCGAAGTTGAAAATTTCCGAATATGCCGGCGATATTCAGAGTGCTCTGACGGCGTTTGGAGAAGACATTGTATGTTCATGCTACGGAGTATTTTGCCGCGTTTGTCGTTATTATTTGTGGACGCTGCTATTGTGTTTGCTTTGCTAAACAGTAAATTGGCTTTCTATTTTTCCGAATTACTACCTGCAGTAGGAAGTGCTTTTGTAGGTTGTGGTGTTGTCAGTGCTTGCGTCCTGAGCGCAAACATTTCTTTCTTTCCCAGCATAGGTCGCTGTGAACCAGAGCCTTATCTAAAATTTTTCGTACGAGATTTTTCTTCAAAAATTAATTGTCGTTCTCATATTTTATTCTGAAATCCGTTGCATCGCTAGCATGGTACTTGATTCCGTGCCAATTCTAAGACACATTAAGCCCTTATTCTACAATCTGCGACAAATGACTTGCTCGGTGATAATTGTGATGCTAAATTTACGGAATCGCCTTTATTACATTAATTGTCACTAGTCGATTTAAAGCTGTAGCAGTTTAATATTGTTTTCATACCAAATCGCAGAATCAGAGTGAACTGACCATTTACCACGCTATAAATAATTAATTCAGTTACAAAACGTTCATACAGTTTTCCCATTGGCGCAGCAGTTTGAAAATAACCGATTTTATATCACAAAAAAAATCCTGTACAGCAGTAGACTTCGATAAACCTTACTATAACTGCTAATTTTTCTCCAGGTTAATAAAGCTCCCTCAGGCTCTTTCCGGGACCGTGTACAGGTGGTGGAGGCGGTCAATAGCGCACTGGATCGTCTGACAGCGGCACCGGATATCACCGACCCGCCACCACTGACCTTTCTGCAAGGCAGCATCGTTTTACTGGACATTATGATCAAGGAAGACCCGGCCATCGTCCAGCTCATTGTGCAGACGGTCTTGAAGATGTTCCGCTCAGTTTTTCCTCTTTTCCCGCAAGCTAAAGAAGAATTCCTGACGGTGTTGCAGATGGCGCTGGGTTTCTCCTTTGCCAGGCTGGCCAGCACCAATCGCCGCATTCCGCAGATTCTCATGCCCTTCGTCGTCCAGATGGCCATGGTAAACTTTCCCTAATAAGTAATGTTTTTATTTCATTTTAACCTTTATTATATAAGTTTGAACAGTAGATTTACAAATAATTTCTTTCGATTGTTGCGATTTTAAAATCAGCATGATTGCTCATTTGCTGGATAACGTAGTGTAGGGGCGCTGAGATCGTTCCCATCGATCCAGTAACAGCTCTCGAGCGTCATTTTCGATCGAGAGAAGAGAATGAATTAAGTTTAGATACATGTTTTCCAGTTAAATTTTTATGTATCGGTTGCTCTTGAATTTTTCTTGATATACATGGTAGTTTGACAAATTTGAATTTTTTTGAAACTTTAGATGGAGAATATTAAGGCGCAGAATATGGTGGTGAAAGCGTGCTGTGACGCTTTGAAACCTACATCACAAGCACGGTATGCGTTGAACCGACTGCGAATTATCCAAGATCTGGCTGCTTTTCTTTTGGACACACCCGAAAGGTACAGCGATTTTTGAACGGCCTGAAAAGAAAGAGATAAATTATTTTGCTCATAAAAATAACGAATTTTGCTGGGATGATGCATATAATCTTGGCGAAACATTTTTCGTTATTTGCTGGGATGCTAATTTTGCTAATTTGCTAAATTTTTTCTGGTTTTAGTTGGTGTTTTTTTATGTTAGTTGTCTGACGACGGACCTGTTGGTCCGCTTCGCCATGTCGGCCATGGGGCATCACGAGCGCGAAGTGCGCCGCAGCGGGGAGCGTCTGATCATCCATTTGTACGGGCGACCACCACCCTCCAGTTTCCTGTCGTTTGGTGGTGCCTCGCAACGCACGGCGGCGTACCGCGATCACATCCGCTCACTCCTACCGCCCCCGCCCACGGATGCCGATAAGGCCAAACGGAATTTCAAATACCGACGCCTGTACCACGTGCTGGCGGAGATGGATGCCGGGGACATGCGCAACGCGGTGGATCTCGACCCGGTAAACTTTAATAATCATTTTTTGCACAGGATATTATTCCATGTTGTAGTAAAATAGTCAAAATACAGCCGTTCGGGCAAATTTCTGAAAATGAAATTCCAACAGGGTCTTTTCGGCGTTTTGATATTAAAAGAACTATCCTTTATCTTTCATGAATTTTATTTAGTTTATACGAAGTCTGAAAATAGAAATAATTACAATAACATGTTTGAGAAATAAAACAATTTAATTTCGTGTAAAATATAACAGTGAAAACGGAATCCTGTTATTTTGTATTTGTAAAGCGCTCATGAGTACTGAGTCACTGCAGTACGTGCTGTTTTAGGAATTACCGAGGCGATTTATGTTTTCCCAGACCCACTTTCATCTCATAGCCCTCCGCTTAATTCACGATATACGGTTAATAATTTTGTTTAATAATTTTTGCAGTTGTTACTTGTTACATTGGTTATCTTATTATTATTATAGTGTTTGGTTTCAAGTGAATGTTATGCTAGCTTTGTTACTGCATTTAAACTTGGCTTGTAAATATTAACTGTGAATGCGTAAATTCGGACTATCCATTTGGAGTTGATATTTATTGGTTTTGGCTTCCTTAGCCGTTGAGCATGCCCTTTGAAACTGTGGATCTGCCTTCCGAGCGCAACGCCGACGACCGAATTCCTGTAAGTGCGTTGACTTTTCATGCATCCCGTCTGAGATAAAATTTGTCTTATTTAAGCCGTTCGCTCATGAAAATACAGGCGGTATGGTATTATACTTTTTAATTTGTATTTCTGCATCAGAAAGTTTACCTATCTATTGCGATGATGAAATGTGATTCGCTTCCATCTTGTGTCTAGAACATTCCCAGTAATGCATCCGCCAAACCATCGAAATCGTTGAAAACCATGGCGTTGAGGAAATTACCGGCGTCCCAGCGCCATCTCAGTCCCATCTCCGATACCTCGGATCCCTCGAAACATCATCCCGATACTTCCGGTGAACAATCTCTCCTGGTCCGCCGGAAATCTTCCAGCACCCTGCTGTCGACGCGTTCCGTCTCAGAGCAGTCGCGACCACATGCAACCAAATCGGCCGCGACGTCCAACATCGTTTTTCCAGCGGTGACGCCGGAAAATGTTGTTGAGAAGGTGGATTATACCGAGGCGGAAGCGGACGAGGCGGCAGTTCCTTCGGATCAGGACAAAACTGTCCCGGAGAAGGTGGTGCCGCTGGTGAAGAAGGGGAAATATTGGAAGCATCTGCAGGTGATTGCCGCCGCGTTGGAGAGCGAGGGATGCCGGTTGGTGGAGAAGAAGGCAGCGGTGAAGGAATTGCAGAAGCACAGCAGCATCGTTTCGTAAGTGACGGCTCATTCACTGATCATGCATGATTTGATGTTAGTTAGAATCGTAGTGTGATGGCTCATTCTCCTATCCGACTTCCTGCGCGTTAAAATTTAATAAACTTGTTGTTACGTTCGTTGCGTTGATTTTGCATTGCAAGTCCTGCAATTGTTATTAATTTTGTAATTATTTTTTTCAGTGCGCTTCATTACATAGTTATTCGTTGACAGGGTGTGCCCGTACTGCGGAAAGCCAGACCTCGTCAAGGAGTTAAATTGGCATTTGTACCAGGAATGTCCGCTGCTGAAAATGTGCAGTTACTGCGACAACGTCAGTTCCGCTTCTCGGTACTTTATATTTTAAAGAGATAATTTGATTTGCACAACGTTGCAGAAAATCCTGGTGTGGGAGTTGAACGGACACTGGTTGGGGAAATGCACCAAACGACCTTCCATGGCGCCGTGTTCGCGATGCGGACTGGCCATCCCACTGAAACAGCTGAAGGACCATATGAGCAATGCCGATTGTCTGGGTAATTTAATTCATTTTTTTCTGCCAAAATAAAAATTGCGCTTTACAATAATAATTTAGTTACGGGTTGTAATAATTATCTGGCTATTTTGTGCGTTCTGCTGAAGTAGAAATTTTATGTCACTGTCAGAGAATAATTGCAGATTGAGCGATGTTGTATCATTACTGTACTAAGAATTATTTTTGTACATTTTGATTTTATTATGGTTTCTTTAGTGTTAGCAAAAAACTCGATTTTCAGTAATTAGACTACAGATACAACGCTGAATTCTTCCGGTAATATTTTTTAATTATAATCATTCAGAAAATGATTTTCTGGTTTGTCTCTGCCGAAGCTGATTAGTTGTGTTAAATTGGATTTATTACGCTCGTTGCAGATGTCAGCTTGGACGAGGGAGCGGCCACGTGCCCTTTATGTCGGCAGTGCGTGCAGAATACGGACGACGGATGGATCGCGCATCTGCTGGGCGATAATCAGCACGGTTGCCGGAAGAATAAACGCCGTATCAAAGGTAATTTTGATATGTATTAAGCATAGAACGCGGCCTCTATTCCGCCATTCAAAGTACACGTGCGTTTCCTAAGATTTCCGTCATTTGCAGCGCTGAAATGGAGTGATACGGCGTGAACTCGGACGCTTATTTTGTTTCCCGATTCACGGATGGTGTACTGTATTCTACGACTCGCTTCTACGGTTGTATTACTTACCATTATCTTGTTATTTCTTTATTTTATTAATATGTCTTATACGTATTACCTATCAGTATTCGTCTCTGTGTTACTACGATTATTATTATCATTGTACAAAATTTAAAAAAATGTTATTACGTAGAGTAGACGTCTTTCGTAGAATAACGCGGAAATAAAGAACTTATATTCATTTCTTGACCGTTACGTGATGAGCAAAAAAACGGATTTGTTAAACTGCACTGTTGCGATTGTATAATCAAGGCTTCTTGGAATTAAGCGTTGAAATCCAAACGGTGTACGTAACATACAATTATACTTTACTAAAATTTTATCAGTGGACTGATAAGAACAAGGCCCACGCAGTATCAGGCTTCAGCATCGTTGCCGCGCCGCCGGAATAAAAATGACTAGCCTCTGCAGCAGCTGGATGTCACAACATGAGCGCCGACGGTAAATTGCCGTTGGACCTGTCAAGAGCGGATGATACTACGGGTAGTAGTCATCGGTTCGTGATAGGTTCAGCGGGTTGTAATTTACCCCATCCGAATGTATCACCCTAGTGCGCTGCGAAGTTGCTCCACGCTCTCATGGAATCTGGCGATCTGACGTTCAGGAGGTCTATTTGGGAATGCAACATAGCGGCATGCTGGAATTGGAGTCGTGGACGGCGTTTTCGGGTATGGTGGCAGTATCTGCAGCTATAACTCTGCCCACCGGTCGGAATCAGCACACGGACCACACCAGAAAAATGCACCCGTGAAGGAATTGAAGAAGAACAGGAGCACCGTTTCGTAATGACAACATGCACGTTATTCACTGGTCTGGAGGGCGACGGCTGACTGGAACGTGATCCTACGGCAATCAGCGATTAGCGACGATTACTGACGAATACTTCTTTTGAAAACTACGAGTAATACTGAAATTAAGTAAATTGCTGTGGAAAAGTTATCTGCTTGTAAGTTTTTAGCGGATAAGTCTGGACATTTTTTTTAAAAATTAATGATTTTATTCCATGATGAACAGAGTTTCTCGGTGCTCCAGAAACCCTGCAGGGATCGTGTAGGAGTTGGTTGAATTGCCATTTGCACCAAGAATGTCCGCTGGTGAAAGTACAAGGATCGTCATAGGTGTTCATTTTCAGAAATACGCATCGGTTACATCGCTGTTTATATTTTTTATTCTAATGTGAACTGTGAGTTAAATCGGTCTTTTCTCTGCTCGTTAGGACTTTACGATTTCAACAATGAGTTTAGTTTAACTTTGTTATATATTTTTATTTGCTGCTGCCATTGTCGTTTTTTTTTGCTACTGAAAAAATTCAGCATTCTGTGACGCGCGTCGACATCCGGTGACCACGCAAAATCTTCCGTTCGAGTTAGAAAACTTTTTTATCTTAATCGCTCGTTTGTTTTCACTAAATTTTCCAACAGCATAAACAATGCCACTTCCTTTGTTAGGCTAGCAATGTGCCAGACGGGATCGACTTGGTTTGGGATTTGCCGGTAGACTATAACGGGCTCGGCGCTTCGTTAGGCGATCTAACCAGCCAAGCCGGATCACCCGCCATCTATTCGCCGGCCGTGCTGGATTATGGCGCCAATCCGGGAGCAATTCTCATTAGTAATTACAACTCTTTGTTCAACTTGCCAGCAACCAGTAAGACAGGAATTTATGGGGCGTCAAATTATCCGGGCGTCATCAACTATCCGGGATGCCAGACGCTGCTTTTCTCCGTCGCGCCATCTCAGACGGTAAATACGCCTTACCTGGCCGGGTCCACAGTTATTGAGGTAAAGATACTTTGAAAATGACAGGTAAAGCTGGTTCGTTGTTTAAAAAACTTGCTGTTGCAGGTCTGTTTCGATCCAGCTGGACAAATATGCATGTTCTTTTAAAAACCAAACTCCCGGAAGGCTTGAAAAACATTCTGGAGTGCATCATTAAAAATGAGGTGCTCTCGAAATACTGCATGCTAACCGTTAACAAAAACTATAATACTGCATCAATAACAGTTAAACTGTCGGTCGAGTATTTAAGGTTTTGTCTAACAATTCTCTGTGACAACTTCGTGAAAGTGTTGGCATACAAGTATGCGACAAGAAGATGTGCGAACATGCCACATACCCTGCAGACTCGCTGTTGCTCTAATTTTTTTTAATGTTTTCTGTTACGCTTTACTTCATTGCGCTGCATGAGCTTTTGGCACCATATCCCAACTAAACAACTTACGCCCATAACACTGATGTGTGCGCTGCTTAAATAATTATTTAGAGCCTAATTTGGGCACTACGGATGCGGGCCCGAATATGATCACAAATTCGAAAATGACCATATCAATAATGTTACAATTTTGAAAAAACGCTTTTCCTTATTCAGTGACCACCTGGATGGTTTCCAGTCTTGTCTCTGGTAAATAGCTATTGAGCATCCAGCAGGGACTGAAAACCATTTCGGATAAACCGCTACAGAAAAACAACGTTTTAATAAAAGGTGTATGAAACAGAGTGGGAACTTGTATCAGCAGCAAAATCAGTATTTCCTCTAAATGGATTATGAGCACGGTTGTTTTCACGTAGCAGCAAGTCAATTAAGGCTCTTTGAAAGTTTGTGGTGGCTTCTATGTAAATTCGTACTAGTAATATCACTCAAAGCGTTGCATAAGCGAGATATGTACATCGACGAATCAGTGTAACGTGGTTTGCGTACGACCAGACTGAATACGACACTACAAACAAACCATAGATTGTTTTGATGTGGAGAAAAAAGGCCAATGTCAAAACGACGGCGGAATTTTTTGCCGGTGGGAATTTTGTGTGGTCAAAACGCAGGCGGCAATTCTCGTGGTCAAACTGCCGGCGGAATTTTCGTAACTTTTTAATTTCATTTACTGCGCATATTTAAAAACAATATTGCCAGAAAAATGTATCTTACATAGATTCGGGCGCCCCGTTATCAATATACAGTAAGCCTCTTTATCGGGCCGCATGTATGTACAGTCTGCATGGGCGTTGTTGCGTCGGCAGTTTACACAGAACGCGCGAACAAGTTCAAGAGAATACCTGAGCCGCGCAAACGAGACAAACAAGGTGTTCGACAATGGCACTGCGGCGATAACACTGAGGTGTGATCTAGTCTGATCCCTGTGGAGCCTTTCCTGGGAAGACTCACAACTTTTCTGAATAATAGACTGGCACAGCCAACTCAGACGAAGAACCTCTACGCGCAGAGATCTCGTGGTCAAGCTAGCTGCCGGCGGAATAGCTGATTGGTGTTCGAGCACGTACGTATGTTCTTTCATCATTGTGTTTTTTGTTTGCTTGTGCTTTTTTAATTTTTCAACTTTTTTAAAGTTGTAGTTCACGTTTGTTATTGTTGACTGGTTATCTGTCGAACGATGAAGCATGTTTTAAAACTAGCAGTAGCAGAAGTTTGTTTGAAAAGAATCCACAGACACATAATACATAGAATGTCCAGCTTGTATTTACTGCACGAATTAGTTTACCAATAAATTGGTTTTGTATCAATTTGTGATTTCCGCAAAAAATGCATGTTCAGGAAATTCCGCCGGCAGTTTGGCCACGAGAATTTCCGCCGGCGTTTTGACCACGCAAAATTTCCGCCGGCAGAAAATTCCGCCGTCGTTTTGACATTGGCCGAGAAAAATTCACCAGGTCAAGAAATTACTGCGCCCTATTCGGTTACTTAGTCTGTCTAAGGATCTCACGGTCCGGCAGGAAAATATTATTTTGCATATAAATTGTGCGGTTGCTGGATTGTGTTTTATACGGCAACTTTTTAAAAGCAAGTCAAATTTTTCCTACTTGTGGAATGGCTGCGGCGACGATTCATATGGATTCGTCGCCATAAAAAACCACATTGCCACTGATGTACTGTGTAGCAGTCAATGGAGATAAACGACAACTGATTTCGGTGATCCCCGTCACCGGAAAAATTTACAGAAATTACGAAGTTGTGACAAAAGCTGTGACCCAGGTCTATCAGTTTACATACTTAAACGAGGACCTTATCTTCTCCGTATCCAGTTCCATTAATGTTACGTTAAGGCATTGACGGCTCGGTATTGTGGAAGCAGATTCGATCCGCTTTTTGTGCCACAGTAATGCCCGCGTCACGCAAACTTATCTGTACTGTAATACAGTAACTTCGTCGATTATGCATTATGACTGCGCGCAACATTTACCAGTGCACTCCTACTAGAATCTGTGTCTGCTGCTTAACTTTTTTTTTTGAAAATCTAGCGGTCTTTAATTAAGCAACAGTACAAGTACAGTGAAGTAAGTACGATGATAGCATGACAAAACAACGTGTAACATTCGTAAATCGACCGAACACTAAAGACAGTCAGACAAAACAATACTAGGGAAGTGCACCGCTGCTCGCTGGCACTGAAAGACCGAAGCGGAGCTAGAAATACTGAGATAAGTGTCTGCAGATGATCAGTTTTTTATCTTTTTGTGATCCTGCATCTGTGGCTATACCCATGGGCGCTGTTACGAAGTCCTTTTCCTCTTGCTTCCCGTATACCGTAGTTATAAGGCATGAGAAACAAATACGCTAGTACGCACGGTTGCAGGCTGCAGCACCGCATCCATTAATTGTAGCCACTTCCAAAGACTGGTTAATGCAGTTATACATATCATCGGCACACCGATTGTGTGACAAATACAAGAAGTTCAAATTATGGAGCTGTGATATACGTACAGATATGAGCGGTTGCAGACTGTAACTGTAACTTACAGTACAGTTTCTCTATTGCACTATTTAAATTAATGGCATTTTTCAGTTTTTGGTAAAGAGGCGAGCACGAATGCTGTTGTTGGTTGTGCTGTGGACTATGGCTCTTTTTACAACTGCCACGATAATTGAAGTGTATACAAAATCATCCTAAATACAAAATGATTATTCACCCCGCAGGATCACCCAGAATTATTGGTTCTCGCTGCTGGACCTTGTAACTTATGGAACAATATTCGGACCAAAAAGCCACCCAGATGATTAACGTAGTTGCAAGAATGATACAGCTAGAAACTCCAAAACGCGAGCACCGAGTAACTGATTTAACGAATGAGCATAGAAATCCAGTGAGGAAACACAGCATCTATGAAACAGAACAACGGGACCGCCGGCGGTTAATTTAATCAAACTTTTTTCTTTAATCCGACCGTCTCTATTAGTATGTAGATGTTGTACATCGTATCATTCCTGACCGTGCTAGAATCGGGTATGCATCTTTAGTAAGTAAACAATTTTTATGCGGCAATAAAGGAGAGGTGATAAACCATGGACGCCCGATATGCCTAACAAATTAACAGTGATGTGATCTTCATAAAAGCCTTATTACCTCGTCATGGCACAGGGAATGCATAAAACATCCCTGGCTTTGCATAAAACGCTGTTGTAAAATCACCCATTTCCTCAGTTACTATACAGAACAATTGCGTACCATTTTAAGTTGCCGTCCTGTCTGAAGACATACCGATTAACGAAATATTTTATGCCGCCATGCCACACATAGAATCGAACGTCTGCGGCATCCCTCTACGTTTAATTTTTAACATCACCTTTTTAAAGCGGCGCCAAGTTAATCGTTGGTTATGCAATGCAAATAATTCTGCATCCACTATGTAATAATCCGTATAAATCTGAAGCGATGCAACATTATTTAAGCAAATCATTGTGGTTTCCAGAACAAACAAATTCCCTACTGCTGTAGGCATAACTGGAGTTTGTCTCTTGTAAGTCACTTGCAACATGGAGCAGTTTTATTTGACCGCTGTCACTATTGGTGTGTATATTGTGGGTAGCAGCTGGATATTGCCGTGTCATGGATGTACATCATGCTTAGATATTCCGCCATTGTGCCGGGATCTGCAGATTTCGGCATCAGCAAGCTGTGTGGACGTGCCATGTTCTTATTCCCTGACTCGCGTGGAAGGGGTCGACCTCACGGTAATTAATGTTCTAACAATAATAATAAAAAATAACAATAATAATAATAATAATTAATAATAATCATAATAATCAGTAATGTGCTAACTTCTATTCTCGCATAAAATGCGCCCGCATTATGCGTGTGCTTTTCTATGGCGCAGTGTAACAAAAATGAGAAAACAGGTTTACTGTGCGACCGAAGCGGTTAAATATATCTGCAGTCGGTCACTATAATAATTCCAATGAACTCATGGTCCGATGGCAATACATCGTTGTCCGGAATTGTACGGTTCTTCAAGTGTGCTTTACGCTAGCTGTTTAAAGCAGCGTTATATTTTCCGCAGCTGTGGAATGGCTGCGGCAATGCTACCTCCAGAAACTATATTGCCACGGATCTACTATACAGCAGCAAAGCAGGCACGCCACAACTGATTACGGTGGATCCGACCAACGGACTGATTTACAGAAACAGCTTGGCTGCAACGGAAGATGTTACCCAGGTGTACCAGTTTACATACTTCAACTTCGACCTTAGCCTCTCGGTGTCCAGCTCCGCGAATGTAACGGTAAGAGATTAACAGCGTAAGTGAACTGGTACATTTTATGGGCCGAACAATTCGTGACTTGACTGGAGAAGCGCGTTCTACAGGTGCTGCTTTTATCAAGCAACGCTTCAGTTTGGCTGTCGTTAAGGGCAACGCTACTGCTGTGTTAAGTACTTTACCTTTTAACCCGCGCATGGATAGAGATTTTGGTTGTCTTTTTTATGCTTAAATTTTAACTGTGAAATAGTGTGTCCGCGCCTGCATTTTATTGTTTTGATGGCTATTGCCTATTAAAAAATACACAGCTTACTATTTCGTACAAACAAAAATCTGCTTTTTTATTTCAGTTCGAGCTACTTATATAAACACAATGATTTTTTTACTGTGACAGCATTCTAACGATGCTGTTAGAGAATCTTTACTCAAACTAACTTCTGAAAAATCACAGAGCTTATTAGACTGCAATAACATAATTATTATAAAGTCACCCGTGCAGCCAGCATTGCGTTTACCAGAACAAAGAAAACACTAGATCACGGGCTCGAATTTTTTAACTGAGTTAAAATAAAGCAATCAACACTAAATTAAAACCATACCTCTTCTAACAAGGTTTTATTTTTTTCTATTTAAACGTTTCGTGACCATCCGATGAGTCTACAGCCATGCTATTCTTATGCAATCTGGGCAGAACAGCCTGTCACAATATAGTACATCGTCTAGACAACATAAGTTATGCTTCAAGAGTGTTATTCTTTCGCCAGTTCAATTTCGCGAGCTGTGCCATAAAACTGATCGGACCAGCCAATGGCACAACTTACTGCCCTGCAATTCCTCCGGACACGATAAACTCCATTTATTACGATTATCCGCAGCTCACCTTTACGGTAAATCTTTTGAGTTACTGCACCCATTATCGGTCATGTATTTTACTTTATGTTGGCACTATAACAGAAAATAGCGGTATTTGCGGTAACAGGCTAGCAATGTGCCAGATGGAACCGCCTTGATATGGGATGCGCCAGTTGATTGCAACTGTCCCGTCAACGGACTCGGCGCTCCACTGGCCGATGTGCAAGCCGGCATGTATTCGCCGGCTGTGCTGGATTATGGCGCCAATCCGGGTGTAATTCTTGTCAGTAATTACAACGCCGTACTGAACTTCCCAGCAACCAGTAAAACGGGGATTTACGGGGCATCAAATTACGGCGGCGAAATCAACTATTCGGGATGCCAGACGTTGCGGTTCTCGGTTATGCCGGTGTCATCATCTCCATATCTCACTGGCTCCGTCGTTATTGAGGTAAAGGTTATCAAGGAAGTGTTAGAAAAACTTGGTTTTTGGGTGAAGAACGTACTTTTGCAGGTGTGCTTCGATCCAGCTGGAGCAGCATGCTATATTATTTAACTACCTCAGGATTCTACGGCTAGAAATAAATTATCGGTTGAATTACGGTTTTTACTTTCTGTACAGAGGTGCTGTAGCGCTAATAATTTAATAAATAATTTCAGGATTAAGTAAGAATATGGTTGGACCCCATTCGAATATTACGTAACGGAAATTTTCGAAGTCTGTTACCACCTCCCCCACCCTGCTCTGACCTTTCTCCACGTACTACCTATGGGAGTTAACGCCAGCCAGTTAGTTAATTGCCCTACGCATAGTCACATAACTCTCAGCAGGCTGTACAGAACTGAGAATACTGACAATTGTGAGACTGTACGCATGGACCGTCGCAATATATAGACTAACAAAGCGGACGCGCCGAGATGTTGAGCGCTTTCACTCGCTCAGTTTGTGACGATTACCCGTACACGCCTAATAATATAGCACTTCCTTTGACCTCGAAGGAATTGGGCATGCAAATTTGTATTTTTTGGCACACCGGCTTCTACCACGTTTTTATTACGGAAGTATCCGATCGCTGAAAGACGGTTTGATCACTATTATTTGTACTGATGTTCGCAAGACGCGTTGATCACGTGCCTCGTGGAGAGGAAGGATATTTTGATTATCGTTCCTTCACACGCGGCGCGCTACGTGCTTCGCGTTCTGTACGCACCGAAGATCAACCTTTTTGATAAGTCTGTGAAACCGTGACCGAAATCATTTAACAAACGAATTACCATAATTATGACACTTCGAGCCGGTGGACAGCGGGCCGCCGGCATGGCGCCACCAGCAGATGACACTTCAGCCGGCGCTGACTGTGGGACGATGGCTGAAGGTCACGTGCCGCTACTACCACCGCAGTCCCATCAATCTCTACGGTCAGGTAAAGTGGGTGTTGTCCGTCTTTTCCTGATAGCTTAATGATGAGATCCGCACAGAAATCGCTTGAAAATATTTTCCTACTGATTTTATGTTGGATTGACGTGCGTAGAGATCTGTGACCAGAAGGCTAGTCGGTTTCATACTGTTGAAAAGCTAATAATATGATCGCTGGTGGTTTCAGTCTAAAAGACTAAATTCACGGCATCCGTGTAATTAGTTTCACTTGAAAAATTGAATTTCTGTAATTAAAAATAAAATTTATAAAATCCTGTAATTAAAATCCTGTACTTTACTTATGTTTATTATTTTAGAAGTTTTTTGTGTACATGTATATTATTAGAAATGTATATGTTTATTAGCTTTTTATTTTAATTGGCAATGTTCACTTGTGTTTATTTTTTTATGTTTATTGGAAATGTTTATGTTTATTTATCAGAATTTTCCGACTTTAATTTTTTATTAAACCGGACCGTTTAATGTGGTTAGCATGGGATAGCTTTTTTCAGATCGCCTCCGTGGGACCACAAAACAGGTCGCAACCCGGGGCCCTGATGCCGCTGACCATGCGTTCGGTATGGCGAAACGATGTTATAAATGTCGATGACTATGCGAAAACCAGCAACATCATCATCATGTCGGAAAAATCGAGAACGGCAGGATTCAAGCCGGTGAAAGACACCACTACAGTGCAGCAATTGCTGGTCAGTTTGGAGAATTACAAACAAGCAGCTGTCGACGGTACTTTTCTGAATGAAATTTTATCATGGTCGTTTATAATGCTTCGTCCTAATTAAACATGTATTTTTTATAGCGGAGGATTTCCGCCGTGCCGGATCGATTAAGGCACTCACGGATGAGATCGCTAATGTAGGCTCAAGAAGCATTGGCCCAAGTCATAAACAATAACAACAAATGCTCTATCGGTACTAAGACGGCCCTCGACCGACGGTAATCAACTTCCCAGCCATGTATTTTACAGCAGTTTTTGAATCTCATACTTAAAATTGCTTGTATTACAGACGGCGGCAGTGGTTCAACGATATTTCGAGAAAAGAAATGGTTCGAACATTATTTTTGAAACATCCGGATGTTTCGCAAAAGCTTCCAGAAAACAGCTTCCAGCCAAAGAATCAGTCAAAATAACCTCTTCCAAACGATAGTTACGTTGAACTAAGCGAGATCGTCATTCATTTATAGCCACTGACCCGATTCAAACCTTAGCTTAATGCTTTGTTCAACAATCTTTGTGCCTGACCCGTGCCGTACAACTGGAAGGACTTGCCGAAAATCGCCACCGAATACTATAACCTTCCCACCAAATGGAAGATCATTTCTCGTCAGATCACGTGAAAGGCGGTCAAGCGTCGAAAGCCCATGTTTAGGCGCCATTGGTGCTTCGTCCCAAATTATCATGGCAGCATCTAGCAACCGTCGCGCTTCTAAGGAGCTCGGTTTCATAGTGGACACTGAAGACTCATCTAGATTCAGAGGAAATTTGAACGCGGAGTGACAGGTGCGACCACCTTGGAGCAGTGTCGCTGCAATTCCGGTCCAGGCAACAATTATCACCGTCTTTCCCTGCCCTCTCAGAATGTGAGCCAAGCAACGGTACACGTAAGTTTTTCCAGTTCCACCGGGGCCATCAAGAAACCATTGTTTCGGGCCAGATGCAGTTTCTACCGAATGCAGAACTTCACGAACAAATTCTTTCTGCTGTTGGTTAAGCGTCAGCTTAAGTCTTTCACCGTCTGCAGTCTCTTTTTCTGTGTTGTACTGATCACAAATACTGCCAACAGGACGTGCTGGTTTCGGTAATCCTATCTGTTCACAGGTTAATCCATGCTGAATCAGAACACACTCAACATCCCATAGAGCTCTGTTTCTACTTTCCTCTTCCGAGTTAGCACGCCGGTAGTCCTCCATCAAATGTTCTTGATGCGCTTCGAAAAGTCCGTTAGGATCGGCCGGTATACAAAATGCACAAATGTACGCGAACATGTCCCTCAATGATTTCGGCATACTGGAAAGACTCGCTTCGGCTAAACATGCACTCCATTCGGCATCATCATCTAGAAGTCGAAGTGCTTTCGCTGCTTCTTGATAGGTGTCATATCCCCTATGGCCGTGCATTACAACCAGAACGTTAACGGTGAACATGCGAAGTGGACCGGAACAGGAGGTCTTCAGCAAATGGCTCCTGGAGTTAGGTAATGCAAAGTTTGATTAAATTTACAGATTAAATAAAGCGATATTAAAAATACAAAATTATGCACCTAAAACTGGGCAAGCTAAACAACAGTCAGTAACGATAAATATATGAAAAACTTATGAATTATTTCACAGGCGAAGGACGGCTGCAAACTGTTCCGGAAATGGAAGAAGAAATGGTTCAGGTGCCAGATGACTGTGTTTTTGAGGGATCACCGATGGAATTAGTGAAAGAGTTTATGGTCAGGTAATCGACCCGTCGGATGTGGTGACCTTAGCAAACTGTGCTATCTTGGCGCCGAAAAACGACCATTGTGCTGAAATCAACGATTACGTCGTTAAGAATTTGTTACCGGGAAATGAAAAATCATACTATAGTGTGGATTCTGTTGAAGGAGACAGTACGGATGATTTTACGAATTATCCTTTGGAATTCGTACATAGTTTGACACCCGCTGGACTGCCTCCGCATGAACTGTTTTTGAAGCCGGGAACTGTAGTTATGCTGTTAAAGAATTTCAACGGCAAGGCAGGTTTAGTAAACGGGACCCGAATGGTCGTACGATGCATACACGACAATCACCTGGATGTAGAAGTTCCAACGGGGGAATGTGCCGGACAGCGCGTATTTTTACCCCGTGTAATTCTAACGACGTCGGATCCAACTATGCCTTTCAGCATAAAGCGGAAGCAGTTTCCTGTGCGTGTTGCTATGACAATCAACAAGTCACAAGGACAAACGCTCAAGCGATTAGGGCTGTATTTACCGGAACATGTTTTCTCTCATGGTTAGCTTTATGTAGCCTTCTCTAGAGTTTCCTCCTTTTCTGATATTAAGGTGAAAGTTGTTCAGGGAGCATACGTGGCAGACCCGGCATTTATACTCGCAACGTTGTGTTTCCCGAAATTTTGTAAATAAACTGACTAAGAGTGTAAACTTAATTAAGACTTCTTATATATTAATGGGATTATGGGAGTGGGGATATATGCTGTAATACTGTACATCCGCACAGCGACCTTAAAAGTTTTAACTTGCATAGATAATGGCCAGTTACAATAGTTTCGAAAGTAACTTTCCAGTTATTACATACATCTATACCAGATTCCGAGGTTGACACGCTGCACCCTTTTCTCTGCAGCAATAGCGCAGTTTGCGCGGGGTCTACTAGTTTCAAAATAAATAAATAGCAATTTTTTGCATATTATTTTTATGTACTTTTTGGGATTTTTATGTTTTCATCTAATTTAAGAAATAATTTATGGCTTTAAGTTATAAAGTTTTATATTGGGGTAATTGTTTTGGGTTTTGCATTCGTATTGGAGTTTTTTTATTGACCGTAGCGAATTAAAAATTTATTTACACTCCATGCTGAGCGCTGCTTGTTTGCTTGTAGCGTGCGCCGAAGTTAAAAATTTCAGAGTGCTTTGACGGCGTTTGGAGGAGACATCGTATGTTCATCCAATCGAGTATTTTTCCCGCGTTTGTCGTCGTTATTGTGGACGTTGCTATTGTATTTGTGTTTGCTTTAATAAACAGCTTTTTATTAATAGTCCTTTTCTTTTTCCGATTTACTGCCTTTGATAAGAAGTATTTTTATAGGTTGTGTTGCTGTTGCTGCTTGCATTTTGGGCGCAGACATTTCTTTTTAAAAATTTTTTCTCCCAGCATAAGCCACTGTACATCACAGTCTTATCTGAAATGCTTCATAAGGGATTTTCCTACAAAAATCAACTGTCGTTCTTGCACTTTATTCTGAAATTCCGTAGCATCACTAGCATTGTACTTGATTACGTGTTGGATAGCAATGCTCATTTAACCGTTATCCGATTTTATATCACAAAAAATCCTGCACAGCAGATGACTTTGATAAGCCTTACAATAATTGCTAATTTTCCTCTAGGTCAGTAAAGCTCCCTCTGGCTCTTTCCGAGACCGTGTACAGGTGGTGGACGCGGTTAACAGCGCACTGGACCGTCTGACAGCGGCACCGGAAAGCACCGACCACTGACCAGTGACCACTCTGCAGGGCAGCATTGTTTTACTGGATGCCATGATCAAGGAAGACCCGGCCATCGTCCAGCTCATCGTACAGACGGTTTTGAAGATGTTCCGCCATGTGTTTCCTCTTTTCCCGCAAGCGAAGGAAGAAATTCCTGGCTGTGTTACATATGGCGCTGGGTTTTCCCTTCGCCCGGCTGGCCAGCACCAATCACGCAGATTCTCACGCCCTTTGTCGTCCAGATAGCCCTGCTAACTCTCTCCATACGTACTCGTACTACTGTTTTGTCAGTTTAATCTTTAGTAATATCATTTTGAGTAATATATTTAAAAATTATTTCTTTGGATATTTTGTAATTTTAAAATATGATCTTGAGTGCTCTCTCGTTTTTGGGATAACGGAGTGTTTGGGCGCGGACACCAAGGCAGGAATCTGCTAATAAACCGATTTCGTTACAGAGACACCGAGTGAACAAATTTCAGTTAATTTCGGATTTATCGGTTGCTCTTGGAATCCTTCTAGGTGTAAATGGTACTTTAATGAATTTGAAGATTTTTTTTATTTATTGATGGACAATAAAAAGGCACAGGCTATTGTGGTAAAGCCTGCTGTGACGCTTTGAAAAGACATCACAGGCACGGTATGCAAATTATCCACGACCTGGCTGCTTTTCTTTTGGACACACCCGAAAGGCACAGAGCCTGAAAAGAGGAGATAAGTTATTTTATTCATAAAAATAACGAATTTTGCTGGGATGACGCATATAATCTTGGCGAAACATTTTTCGTTATTTAAATTTTTTCTGGTTTTAAATTTGGTGTTTTCGTATGTCGGTTGTCTGACGACGGACCTGATGGTCCGCTTCGCCATGGCGGCCATGGAGCACCACGATCGGGAAGTGCGGCGCAGCGGGGAGCGTCTGATCATCCATTTGTACGGGCGTCCGCCACCCTCCAGTTTTCCCTCTTTCGCTGGTCATTCGCAACGCGCAGCGGCGTATCGCGATCACATCCGTTCGCTTTTGCCGCCACCGCCCACGGATGCCGATAAGGACAAACGCAATTTCAAATACCGGCGAGTGTACCACGTGCTGGCGGAGATGGATGCCGGGGATATGCGCAACGCAGTGGATCTCGACCCGGTAAATTTTAATAACCACTTTTTGCGTAGGATGTTAGTGGTCCATGTTGCAGTAGAATATATCTGTACTCGTATGGTCGTTTAAGTGAAACACTATGGTAAGTGAAGGGGCGATGGTCGTTTAAGTGAAACACCCGAAATAACATTTTCCACAAACCGATTTTCTTTCGGATTTTTTCCTCTTCCGACTAAACAGGAAGTACCCTTTACAGCGTACTTGATATTTTTAAAAATGCTTGAATCGTTTTCTTACAAATGAGACTTACAAAAATATTTGAGCGTAGGGCAGTGGCACTCGTGGCGTGGCTAAAGCGCTTTCGTCACTGATTTCTTTACGTCTCATTTGTAAGAAAACGGTTCAAGCATTTTTAAAAATTTCAAGTACGCTGTAAAGGGTACATCCTGTTTAATCGGAAGAGGAAAAAATCCGAAAGAAAATTGGTTTGTGGAAAATGTTAAATTGGGGTTTTCACCTAAACGACCATCGCCCATTCACTTAGCATAGTGTTTCACTTAAACGACCATACGGGTAGGGGTTCAAGAGTAAAATTGTGGAAATAAATATCCACAGCCATAGGGTCTACAGCTTTGTAGTATTCAAACGACTGCCATTTAACGTTCATGAATTTTATTTAGTTTATAGAAATTCGGTGAAAAAAAGATAATTACAAATTTACAATATCCAGTTTCAAAAATTAGGAGATGTAAAATGTAAAATATAAGAGTAAAAACAGAATCCATGGATTTTTATTTGTAATAAAATATTTGCGCTCATCAGTACTTGTACTCCAATACGTACCGCTATTTTGGGATTTACGATGCGATGGCCTTCATTCATTTCGAATTAATTAAAGGTTTATACTCGCACTGTTAATTGAAGTTTGCGTTTACTCGCTAACTTGTTTTAACGATGCGAGAGAAACGCCGGCAAGAGCTGCTCTCTTTTTTGAACAGGACATCAATGTTTAGCCGCCGGACTTTGAGCGAACCGACGGATGCTTTTCTCCTCCTTCCTGGAATGTACCACGAGCATGTGTGCCAGCGAATCGCCTGCCTTTCCTGTTTGCGTACGGTGTGCAAACTGCCAGTTTACCTACGGACTACCTAACCGTCAGTTCTATCTTATGGTGGCCCAGTTGCATTTTTCGAATTGGTGTGTTTTTCGGCATGTGCGAGTCTTTTGCTTATCCTCATTGTGTGTGTGTCAGAGTTAAGAGTTTGATATTGATCATTGAAAGTTAACGATTGTAATCTTCCTGTTAATCTTCCTGGGATTGTGTGTGTCAGAGTTTGATATTGATCATTGAAATCTTCCTGTTAATAATATGACCGGACGGCGCGGTAGGACGCCCAATGCGCCTGAACCACTTGCGGCACGGCCAGCTCGCGGTCGTCCACGTGCGCGTGCGAACCCTGTTACCCGTCCGACGGCAACTGGAGGAAGTATTGGCGCGGAAGGCGTATGAGATCTGGATGCTCGGATTGCCATGGCGAAGCAGCAGTTGCAGTCGCTGTTAGCGCAGAAGGCCGCGGACGTGATCCCTGTTTTGTCGACACCAGAGGCACCACAACCACTGCCTGCACAGCCACCACCGACGGAAACGACTATGCTGCTTCAGCCCATGATGGATCAGCAGAACCAGCATGCCCAGCTTACTCAGAAAGTCAACGAGGCTCAGGCCACGCCATCCACCAGCACCGGAGCGAGTAACAGTAAGAAACCGCCTCCGTTGCCCGCTGGGTTCCCAATTGTCAGTGAGAAATGTCTCGAAGAACTGTACGATCTCACGGTGAACGTTGACTTAGATAAGCTGCTTAGGGCGAACACCATTATGTCGCCGATTCAGGGAGAAGCTAAATTCGAGATCAGGGATGGAAACTTTATTCTTTCTGATTCGAAGCCTAAGAAAATTACGATTACTTCGTTCACTCTGTGGAACGAAGCGTTCATTGTGTTTCGCCGTGTGCGCAGTTATTACCATCCCACTCTGCAGCAGCCGCTCGACTCCTAGTATCCTACCATACCATTATAACTGAAATGGCAGGTGTCTACCTGCTGCCGGTGTGGTTGGAGCATGATAAGACCTTTCGTGCATGCCGCATCCGTGATGTCACTAACCATGATCAATGGAACCTGCTGGACCGAAGCCTACTGGACCGCTGTATAGCCCGACATCCGCTTCGTGCTCATCTGCCATTATGTCGCGACTGCAGCATTGCGGACCATACGGATCAGGACTGCCCGAAAAAGCTCCAGTTCACTGCACACGGTCAAAAAGACGCTAAGGGGGATCGGCCCTTTCGACACATCCCGCCAGAGTTGTGCAGGAACTGGAACAACGGGAGATGCACTAACGGGTCAAACTGCCGCTTCAAGCACCTGTGTGGAATATACAGGGCGGCTGACCACACCGTCCACGAGCACGATTCAGCCCAGCATAAGCCTGCTGCTAATGTCAACGCCAAGGCCGGAAGTAGCGACGCCCGTTTCCGCCGACAGACTCGCTGAACTAATGGTAGCGCATAATGACCGCGAGTCTGTGTGTTTCCTTTTACAGGGTTTCAGGTTTGGTTTTGCCATCGGGTACGAAGGCCCGCAAATTCGCCGATCTACCGCAAACGCACGCTCGGCTCTTCTTGACCCACACGTCATCACAGCAATGATCATTAAAGAAGTGAATGCCAACCACACGAAAGGTCGTTTTCAAGTGGAACCGCACCCAGTATGTGTCGTAAATCCGCTCGGGCTGCGTCCAAAAAGACAATCAGGCCACCGGGTAATAATGGACCTGTCGCAGCCATTTGGGTTCAGCGTGAACGACTATATCCCGAAAGAAAAGTACTCGTTGACGTACATAGGTGTAGATGATGCAGTTAAAATGGTGATGTTTCATGGTCGAGGGTCGTTGATGGCGAAAGTTGATATCGAAAGCGCGTTTCGTAATTTGGCAGTTAGATCGGCCGACTGGCACCTACTGAGATACAAGTGGGAAGGAATGTTTTACCATGATGTAGTGGTCCCGTTTGGGTTGCGATCAGGCCCATTTTTATTCGACACGTTTGCTAGAGCGCTTGAGTGGATATTTAAAAAATGCACTGGTAGCGAACATTTCTGCATTTTCTCAACGATTATTTCATGTGCGATAAGCCAGCAAGTCCAGCTTGTGGGAGATTAGTGATGCAGGTTCAGTCAGTATGCAAGTATTGGGCGTTCCGATAATTGACAAAAAGCTGATAGGCCCAGCTACAGTGATGAAATTTTTGGGTATCGAAATCAACAGCGAGAAATTTACGCTATCAGTATCGGCTGCTCGTTTAACGGAGTTAACGGCATTGCTCGAAAGTTTTTCCGCGTGTACGCAGTGCACAAAGCGTGAGCTTTTAAGCCTTGTTGGAAAGTTATCTTTTGTGACAAAATGTATACCTGCTAGCCGAATTTTTCTGAGGCGCATGATCGAGCCGAGCTGTAAAGTAAACCGGCTGTTTCACAGAATTACGTTGACCGACGGTTTCCGTCGCGATATCGCATGGTGTAGAGAGTTCTTGCCGGCATGGAACGGGACGGCCGGGTTTGTGCAGCCAGAATGGCTACCAGCAAGTGTACTGCACGTGTACACTGATGCAGCAGGCTCGATAGGTTATGGAGGAGTACTCGGTAATGAATGGTTTCACGAAGCATGGCCGACTTGGCTGCTTGAATTGAGCCCGCCGATAACGTTTCTCGAAATGTACCCCATTTATGTGGCATGCGTTGTGTGGAATGAAAAGTTTCATGGGAAACGTGTTATGTTCCACAGCGATAATACAGGAACAGTGCAGACATGGTCGTCAAGCAGTTGCAGCAACCCAGCGGTGATGGAGCTTATACGTAGAATTCATTTTGTAACTGCTCATTTTAATTTTGTGATCAAAATAACGCACGTCGCGGGTGTCGATAACAATATTGCTGACGCGTTATCCCGATTGCAGTTGCAACGCTTTCGTCAACTCCATCCGCTGGCGAATGTCGACGGCATAACACCGCCAGATTTGCTTTCACGACTGCGACCGTTCCTGACGGGGAAAGAGCCTCCAGTAACAGTCTCACCGCGGGTGACCTTTTCACCGCCGGAGTGGCTCCTGCTACCCGAAGAGCTTACGCCAATGGAGAGCGAAGCTTCGAGTAGTTTTGCAGATTAACGAAGAAAAAACCATGGCCCGCCACTCAGGAGACTGTTGAAGATTATGTAGTGCACCTGTTCAACCGGAAGTCCTCATCCTCGACCATAAATGTTTATTTATCCGCTGTAGCCCGGCACCACTTGTCGCAAAACATGCCGGACCCGACAGCCAATCCCAGACTGAAGCAGATTGTAGAAGGCGCCCGCCGGATGACCGTAACACAACCAGACCAGCGCCTACCGGTAACTTCCGAACTGCTGGGACGCCTTCCAAGCAGACTGCACCTGACGTCCCTAATACAATACGACCAGCAAATGTTTTGGGCCGCCTTTACGATGGCTCATCGTTCCCTCCTCCGCGTTTCGGAACTGACTTCGCCATCCCCGACAGCTTTCAACCCGTCGGCTACCCTCCTGCTGCAAGACGTTTTGTTGGAACGACACTGTGCTGCAGCTTTCGACTAAACAGTCGAAGACAGACCAGCACAGGAAAGGAACCACACTGTCCATGTCCGCTAGCGAAGCGCCGATCATCTACAATGCCTGTGTTACCTATGCACTGCAACGTCAGCATCGACAGCCTCCCGACCTGCCATTCTTTATCAACAGCAGCGGCCGCTTTCTCACGCGCTTTGACCTTACGCGTGCACTGAAGTTAACCCTTCCAGATGGGGAGGATCGCGCCCGCTACTCATCACATTCCTTTCGAATTGGCGGCGCCACTTCGGCCGCTGCTGATGGCCTGTCCACGGAAGTTATATGTGAACGGGGACGATGGAAGTCGTCCTCGTTCAAGCGCTACATTCGCCCGCAAAGTCTGCGCGTACCACATCTGTTGGGGGCACCTCCTCACTCGCGCTGCTCTCTCGCTATGGTACGCACAGAACCGCACCGGAAGGCAGCCGCAACATCCTGGCCACGTATCAGGATCCATTTCACTCCCTGGCCACGAATCAGGGCATCACCTGGCCACGTATCAGGTGTCTTCGACCCCCTGGCCACGAATCAGGGGTCACCTGGCCACGCACCAGGTGGCACTGCGCGCGATAACACATATACGCTCCTTCCGGTGGCCGAGCATGTTCTGACGTTTTCCACGAGACTCCGCGGCCGAGACGAGGCTGGCCATTTGCCCCAAAACCATGTCGGCGTTTCTCGAATACATCGTTAATACTTTGGTTTAATAGTTTTTATAACTGTAACATTGATTATTGTATTATTTTCCTGTTTGGTTTCAAGTGAATGGGTATGCCAGCTTTGTTACTGCGTTTGAACTTGGCTTGTAAATATTGAAAGCGTATGTATAAATTTGGGATGTCCATATGGATATTTATTGGTTTTAATTGCCTTAGCCGCCGAGCTTGAAAGCCGCCCTTTGAAAGAGTGGACTGTCTTTGGAGCGCAACATCGACGACTAAATCCCTGTAAGTGTGTCAACAACAATTTTATGTGTTCTTAATCTGGGATAACATAGTGGAGTGGCCGTAAGCACTTGACAATACGCTTTGATGGGGCAGGCGATTGTGTGAAAAGTAATGTGTTCCTGTAAATTTGTTTTCAGTTTGTCTTGATAAGTTTTTATCGTGCTCATTTTTTAATTTTAATTTTTCTTCGTTGTACGTCGTATTAGGCTTTCGTAGAAATAATTCATACTTCATGCATCCCCTCTGTAATATAATCCCCTCTTCATGCATCCCCTCTGTAATTCATACTTCATGCATCCCCTCTGTAATATAATTGATATTCTTTAAGCCGTCCGTACGTGAAAATACGGACGTAATTATTATTTTACTTTTTAAAGCGTGATGCAGCACCACAAATTTTACCTATTTATTGCGTGGGTGAAAAGTGATTCGCTTCCATCCTGTGTGTAGAATATTCCCAGGAATTCATCCGCGAAACCATCGAAGTCGTTGAAGACCATGGCGTCAAGGAAATTACTGGCATCCCAGCGCCACCTCAGTCTCATCTCCGACACCTCGGATCCCTCAACCAAACAGCATCCCACTGATCCCGCCACATCCAGCGGACATTCCCCCCTGGTCCGCCGGCAATCCTCCAGCACTCTGCTGTCGACGCGCTCCCTCTCCGAGCAGTCGCGACCGCATCCAGCAAAATTGGCCGCGACGTCCACCATCGCCTGGGCGGAAAATATTGAGGAGAAAGTGGAGTATATCGATGTTGCGAATGACGCTGCGGTCCCGTCGGAACAGGACAAAAACGGTCCCGGAGAAAGTGGTGTCGCTGGTGAAGAAGGGGAAATATTGGAAGCATCTGCAGGTGATTGCCGCCGCGCTGGAGGGCGAGGGATGCCGGTTGTTGGAGAAGAATGCAGCGGTGAAGGAGATGAAGAAGAACAGCAGCACCGCTTTGTAAGTGACTGCACATTCGCTGATCGTGTATACGTTAGTATATCGTGTGTACGCGACAACGGTAGTACAGCTCTGTTTATCGGTAGAAATCGTAGTGTGATGGCTCTTTCTCCCAGTCATCCTAGGTGCCCGTTAAAAATTTGAATAAAAATTTGAATACAGGTTGTTAGGTTTCGTTGCGCTGATTTTTTATTGAAAAGTGAATGTTCCGGCCATTGCTTTTTGTAATTCTTGTTTTTCTCGGCACTTCATTATTAAGTTATTCGTATTTATCAAGTTATTCGTTGACAGGAGGTGCCCGTTATGCGGAAAGCCAGACATTGTAAAGGAGTTGAATTGGCATTTGTACTATGAAATATGAATATCCGCTGCTGAAAATGTGCAGTTACTGCGACAACGTTAGTACGAGGCAAGTGTCCCTTAAATTAATAGACGCGTTTTGCCTTACCATGATTTGACAACCTAGACCGCAGTGTGCGAACCTGTCAGCCACCATGGGCTGGCAGCGTATAATACAAACGGTTGACTGCATTGCTGCCATTGACGTAACGTTAAAGTAAGTTGGCACTCACACTCGCAAAAACCTCAACCGAACCTACAAACTTACGTTCCAAATGGTGGAAAAAAATCAGGGAATTTTTTGATACATAGCAAGTAAGTTTTCATGGCAAGCAAGGAAAGTTATGAACGTTTGTGGTTCCTCGTAGACATAGCATAAGGTTCGTGCGAAGAGCCGTTGAAGAGGATCCTATGCTATGTCTACGAGAAACCATAAACGTTCATAACTTTCTTTGCTTGCCATGAAAACTTACTTGCTAGGTACCAAAAAATTCCCAAATTTTTTCTCCATCATTTGGAATGTTAGTTTGTAGTTGTGATTGAAGTTGAGATGAGTAAATGTCGATTCAGTGAACGTCGAAGTCAATGGGAGCAATGCAGTCACCATTTGTGTTACACGCTGCCAACCCATGGTGGCTGCCAGGTTCGCACAGTGCAGTCAAGGTTGTCAATTTATGGTAAGGCAAAACGCGTCTATTAATTTAAGGGACACTTGCCTCGTACAGCATCTCTGAGTTGTCTATTTAAAAAATTTTATGTTTTGTTCGGCGTTGCAGAAAACTCTGGTGTGGGAGCTGAACGGACACTGGTTGGGGAAATGCGCCAAACGACCATCCATGGCGCCGTGTTCGCGATGCGAACTAGCCGTGCCGCTGAAACAGCTGGAGGACCATTTGAGCAATGTCGATTGTCTGGGTAATTTAATTTTCAAAAGAAAATGCATGTGACACAGTTTCCAGACATGCGGAATCGAATGGCGTTATCAGTTTTTCGATGAATTTTTTGGTTTGTTCTGACCAGATCGTACGGGGTTTTCCATTGTTCAATGTAGGACTAAATGGTCGCATAGCCCCCTACCCAGCATTCTGTACGCAAGCGGTGCAGTGCACTTGTACGAAGCGGATATTTTGAACTCAATCGTACAGTGCACTGCGCTGCATTCGTACTGAATGTGGAGATGTTGGGTATGCGACCATTTTGTCCTAAGCTGTAATATAGATCTTTTGTCCTAAGCTGTAATATAGATATTTACCTTGCTATTAATTTTTATGTTTGTTTCTTGTATTAGTTTATTAGTCTGTAGTTCGTAAATCCTACCGGTTGAATCAGAAATTAATTGAGTCAGGGAGATTAATAAAACACGCGAATACGGGTTACGGACGCACAGTGCACTGTATGTTTCTTTCATGACCTTGTTACCGTAGTGCCTGTCAGTCTCGCGTTCTTGCGGACGTGTGAACTGGAGCACGGCTGACACGGTGACAATTTTTCCGAAAATTTTATTTTATTCGGGATCAGTAACGTTAATTACTGAAAATTATGCGAAAGTGTTTGCAGTGCTGATTTGTTTTTAAATTATAAAAAAGCTGTTGTATCAAAGACTTTCTATGCCGTCATTTTGTTGCCTGGCTTTCTATGCCGTCATTTGCTGTAGAGCCCTGCACGAGCCGGCTCGGCTCACGAGCGCTCGGCGTTCGCGAGCACTTCAAGCGAGCAGGCGTCGTTTTGCGAATTTGCGAACGAGCTGAGCAACAGAAAAAAAGTTGCGAGCGAGCCGAGCGAGCGGGGTATTCGGGTGCGAGCGATCGCGAGCCTACAGGCTGACATTGTGCGAACTGGAGAAGTTTCTAGTACAAAATTACATTGACCGACCTGAAAACGGTCTTAAACCACCGTCACCTTCGCGCTTCGCGCGAAGTGATTTACCAACTTTCCTAGACCGGTTGGGACTCAGGACTAACTTTTGATGTTTTGTACTCGTAGCCAACAAAAACATTATTTGACGGGTTTATGAATCAGTTGAATGCTTCCCAAGAAAGGTGCATTTTAATTCTCGAGCATCTGTTATATGTATTTATTTCAGACCAAATTAAGAAAACTACATCCAGTAGAAAATTAAAGGTATTAGCGAAAAAATTAAAAACTGTAATGAAACGAACTACCAGTATGGAGATATGAGTGACTGTCTCTGAACATCCAATTACACTTGCTGAGTTTTTGTGTTGGTGAAAAGTTTGGTATAATTAATTCGTGCAAAAAATTGATACGTAAATTTTTGCCGATCTCACGAGCGAGCCGATTTGCCAAAATAAAATTACGAGCGAGTTGAGCGAGCAGAAGCAAAGAAAATAGGAAAACGAGCGAGTTGAGCGAGCGGCGGTTTGGGCGCGAGCGAGCTGAGCGAGCAGGAAGTTTCAGAAAGCTGAAACGAGCGAGTTGAGGAGCACTTTTGCTGCTCGTGCAGGGCTCTAATTTGCTGGTCTATAACTCAGTACGATTGCAGCCATTGCACTACATTGTAGAGAATTTAAAAGGTGATTTTAATTCATTTGATGCAATTCATCTGGGTGATGTGATACTATCCCTTTCACCACCGTTTACTGTAGCCTTGCAGCCTGCAGGCACCCCCTATGCACTCTTTCAGACAATTATGCGAAAACGGAAAACAAACAACATTCTAATCAAAACAACGTTCGAGGACGGCAGCATTCAAGCCGGCGAGGGACACCATCATCGTGCAACAGCTGCTGCTGGTCAGGTTGGAGAACTGAACAGCCAGCTGTCGAGGGTTCATGATGGTCGGTGTTAGTGGTGTGCCTAAAACTATGACATTGTTTTGTTGCGGAGGACTTCCGTCACGCCGGATCTGTCAAGGCACTCCCAGAGGAAATTGCTAATGTAGGCGTATTCAGCAATTCTACCAGTAATAAACATTAGGCGCTGTATTTAATTTAGAATTATGTATTTGTGCTTTTAATTTTCTTTAAATTTTAATTTTTTTTATTTTTCTTGTTATACATATTTGTAGGTTTTGTTCTTCTTGATAATGTTAGGAATTTACCAGAGACGCGTTAAACCGAAATTGACCTGAGTAATTTCCGGGTTTTTTTTGGGTTTCTTAACATTGTTGGTTCCTAGAGAGCAGAGGAAGCGGACGCTTTAGAGAAGTAAAAAGACAGCGCGATCGAGGAGAGATTTTCCGACTCGAAATGTAACATCCTCAAGGTGACAGTGAAAGCATGAATTTATTAAAGGAGCGTAGTTATGGCAGCTTGCTCTAGGTCACTGTCAGTTAAGAAATGGATAAATGATGAGAATTAATTAAGGTTGTGTTAGTGTGCTTGAAAGTATAAAAACTGGACAAGTGGTTGTAGAAAAGTTAAGAATAGTCATCGTCAGTAAAGAATATAAGAACGCTGGTAGATCGCCAATGAAATCCAGCTTTACCGATTTAAGTCAAGTACGAGCCGTCGCACTACGTTACCGCCGTGATTGAACCGTTATTTGGACGGCGAAATTGACTCAAATTGTAGCATGTTACTGTATTGGTTTTTGCTCTGATAAAATCGCTTCCTTGATAATCGTTACAGTACCATTCCCCGCGTAAACGCAAAGTTGTTTAAAACGGATGTCGGTCTTTATGTGCTGCCTGCTTTCAGCTAGAAAGGACAACTACGGCGCCTGGAAGAGATGTTACGAAAACGGGCAGTGCCAGAGGTTGGCGGGGTCCAGCGCACACCGGCGGAACGCGACATCCACACGGTGCAGTTTCGCGATGACGCGGTGCCGCCGGAATTCACACCGGCCACGCCCACCAGCAGTACCCGCCGCAGCACGTTGATGAGACCACGGGCAGTCAACCACCCGCGATGGGATGTTCAGTCAGACGGCCAAAAAAAGTGCAGGTGAAGATATGAATATTGTGTATGTTCCATCGGTTATGATTTATTAAGGTTTTCTTTATTATTTATAAGGGAGTTTTGTAAAAGTATTTACGGACGAGCTGCGTAGATTTACTTTTTATGAGCGGACTTTCATAATAATTTTTTTCATGTCTAGTTTTATGCATCTTTTTATTTTGGCATTTTTATATGTTTCTTTGTATAATTTTTTATGTTTTTAGTTTAGAAAGTTTTTATACCGTTTTCTTTAGGTTTTGCAGTGGTGTTCGACTTATTTTGACTGGCCTCAACAAACAAAAAATTTATCAATGACTTAATAACTGTTGCACCTTTATTTGTAGCGTGCTCTAAAGTTAAAAATTTCCGAATATGCCGGCGATATCCAGAGTGCTCTGACGGCCTTTGGAGAAGACATTGTGCGTGCATTTTACTCAGCAGGAAACAATATTTTGCGCGTTTGTCGTTACCGTTTTTATTATGTAAATATTTTTCTCTAGCTTGTTTTAATAAATTGAGTTATAATTTCTAGTTTACTGCATAAGGTATGTACTCTGTACTTGTAGAGTCTGTGCTATTGTTATTGATTGCGTCTTTCGCTGAGAATTATTTCTTTATTAAGTTTTGATTTCTTAAATTTTTTTATTAAATTTTATTAAATTAAAATCACAGGCGGGTCTACATCTCGTCCGTGATAAAATTTTTCTTCAAAAACAAATATTTGTCAAATGCATTATTTTCTGAAACCGTAAAGATGATCTGGGATTCTGCTACATTCAGCCCATTTTCTGGGATTCAGCCCATTTTCTACAATTTGCGACAACAGATGCGCTGCATTATAACTTACGGTTTCTATAACACTTTCACCGTTTTCTATAACACCAAACTGTCACCTTTTAACTTCTGACTGTCGCGGTTTGATCTATAAGCTCTATAATGTTTTCGTATAAGAAACGCAGAACCAGTTTCGTCATGTTAGGAAATTAATTTTCCAGTAAAAACAATTCTTATAATTTTTTTCAGTGAGTCATCAGCTTGAAAATCTCCGAATTTCGCATCCGCTAACAATCCCGCGGCCAGCCTGCGTTAACTGTTCAAACAATCGATAATTTCCCCAGTTTTTTTCTCCAGGTGAATAAAGCTCCGTCGAGCTCTTTCCGAGACCGTGTACTGGTGGTGGACGCGGTCAACTGCGCACTGGACCGTCTGATATCGGCACCGGAAATCACTGATCCACCACCACTGACCATCCTGCAGGGCAGCATCGTTTTGCTGGACATGATGACCAAGGAAGACCCGGCCATCGTCCAGTTCATCGTGCAGACAGTGCTGAAGATGTTCCGCTCGGTTTTTCCTGTTTTCCTGCAAGATAAAGAAGAATTTCTGGCGGTGCTGCTAAAGAAGAATTTCTGGCGCTAAGTTTATCCTTTGCCAGACTGGTCAGCACCAATCGCCGGATTCCGCAGATCCTCATACCGTTTGTCGTGCAGTTGGCCGTGGTAGCTTTCTTTATGATATTTTTATTTCAATTTACCCTTTAGTAATATAATTGTTGATCAACGTAGTACTCGTACTTATTTAAAAATAATCTCTTTCGATTTTTATTTTTTTTAAATACTCTTTTTTGTTCGTTGGTCTGTTGGATAACCGGTAGTGTTTGGGCGGGGACCCTAAATATTGTACAATCTTTAGAGCATCATTAGTGCGGCATTTTCGAGAGAGAGGAGGGAGAGGATGGAATTTTTCTAGGTGTGCGTGATACTTTCATGAATCTAATGTTTTTGAAACTTTAGATGGAGAATATTAAGGCGCAGAATATTGTGGTGAAAGCGTGTTGTGACGCTTTGAAACCAGCAACACAAGCACGGTACGCGTTGAACCGACTACGAATTATCCAAGATCTGGCTGCTTTTCTTTTGGACACACCCGAAAGGTACAGCGATTTTCTAACGGCCTGACAAGGAACCGATAAGTTCTTTTATCCATAAATTCTGGAATTTTACTGGACTGATGTATATGGTCTTGGCAAAATTTTATTTCGACTTAATTCACGATCTAGGTTAAAAATTTTTATTTAATAATTTTTACAACTGTAACATTGATTAATTTATTATGTTAGGCTGTTTGGTTTCAAATGAATGTGTTTGTCAGCTTTGTTACTGCGTTTCAACTTGGCTTGTAAATATTAACTGCGAAGTATGTATAAATTCGAATATCCATTTGTATATTTGATGGTTTTGGTTTCGTTAGCCGCTGAGCTTGCCCTTTGAAAGTGTGGATCTGCCTTCGGAGCGCAGCGTCGATGACCGAATTCCTGTACGTGTGTTAACTCTCCTCTGTAATAAAATTTACTTTACTTAAACCCGTCGTTCATGAAAATACAGGTGTAGTTATTATTATACGTTTTAATTTTTATTACAGCACCACAAATTGTGCGTATTATTACGTTGGTGTAATGTGATTCGCTTCCATCTTGTGTCTAGAATATTCCCAGTAATGCATCCGCCAAACCATCAAAATCCTTGAAAACCGTGGCGTTGAGGAAATTACCGGCGTCCCAACGCCACTTCTCCGACACCTCGGATCCCTTGAACAAACAGCACCCTGATGTTTCCGGCGAACATTCCCCCTTGGTCCGTCGGAAATCCTCCACCACCCTGTTGTCGACGCGCTCCTTGTCCCAGCAGTCGCGGCCACATGCAAAAAAATCCGCCGCGACATCCAACATCTTGGTGACAGCGGTAACGCCAGAAAATATTGAGGAAAAAGAGGATAAAATCGATGCGGACGCGAATGGCGCTGCGGGCCCGTCGGATCAGGATAAAACTGTCCCAGAGAAAGTGGTGCCGCTGGTGAAGAAGGGGAAATACTGGAAGCATCTGCAGGTGATTGCCACCGCGTTGGAGGGCTAGGGATGTCGGTTGGTGGAGAAGAATGCAGCGTTGAAGGAATTGAAGAAGAATAGCAGCACCGTTTTGTAAGTGGCTGCACATTCACTTATCATATGTTCTGCCGGTATAAATCGTAGTGTGATGGCTCGTTTGCCTTGGTGTGCGTTGAAAATTATAATCATGTAATATTTCGGTGCGTTAATTTGCTATTGCAAGTCCCTGCAATTGTTATTTGTATTTCTTTTTTTCAGTGCGCTTCATTATTAGTTTTCTTCTTGATATTTTAATGTATGAATTAAGTTATTCGTATTTATTAACTTAAGTGTTCGTTGACAGGGCGTGCCCGTATTGCGGAAAGCCAGACATCGTCAAGGAGTTAAATTGGCATTTGTACCAGGAATGTCCGCTGCTGAAAATGTGCAATTACTGCGACAACGTCAGTTCCGCTTCTCTGTACTTTATATTCTAAAGAGATAATTTGATTTGCACAACGTTGCAGAAAATCCTGGTCTGGGAGTTGAACGGACACTGGTTGGGGAAATGCACCAAACGGCCTTCCATGGCGCCGTGTTCGCGTTGCGGACTGGCCATCCCACTGAAACAGTTGAAGGACCATATGAGCAATGCCGATTGTCTGGGTAATTTAATTCGTTTTACTGTTGCCATAATTATTGAAATTACGGCTTACAAGTTACAATAATAATTTAATTACGGGTTTTAATAATAATTGGCTGTTATTTGCATTCAGCCGAAGTTGAAATTTCATTTCTGTCCGAATGATTGCAGATTGAGCGGGTTGTATCATAATGTGCTAAGAAACTATGTAGTCTTTAGTCCGCTTATTTTTGTACATTTTGTTTTTTCTGATTTTTAATATTGTTTCTTTAGTTTAGCAAAAAACTGAACTTCAGTAATTAGACTACTTGCGATAATATTTTTTAATTGTAATTTTAAAAAATTCAGAAAAGGATGTTCTGGTTTGTCTCCGTCGAATCTGATTAGTTTTATTAAACCGGATTTGTTACGCTCGTTTGTTGCAGATGTCAGCCTGGACGAGGGAGCGGCCACATGCCCTTTATGTCGGCAGTGCGTGCAGAACACGGACGACGGATGGATCGCGCATCTGCTGGGCGATATTCAGCACGGATACCGGAAGAGTAAACGCCGCATCAAAGGTAATTTTAGTATGTATTAAACGTAGAACGCGGCCTCTATTCCGCCATTCAAAAATTTCACGTGCGTTTCCTAAGATTTCCGTCATTTGCAGCGCAGAAATGGAGTGATACGGCGTGAACTTGGACGCTTTTTTGTTCCACGGATGCCGTCCTGTATTCTACGGCTCGCTTCTATGGTTGTATTATCATTATCTTCATTTTAATTATATTTTTTATACGTATTAGTATCCGTGTGACGTATCTCTTTTACCACGATTATTATTATCATTGTGTAAAATTTAAAAAAAGGTTAGTACGTATACGTCTTTGGTAAAATAACGCGGAAATAAAAATGAACTTGCTTATTTCTTGAACGTTATGTGATAACCGCGTGAGCAAGAAAACGGAGTTATTTATCGTTAATTGCACTGTTGCGCTTGTATAGTGCAGGCTTCTTGGCATCAAGTATTGAAATCCAAACGGAATACGTAACACACTCGTACTGTAGTAATATTTTATCAGTGGATTGGTAACAGCAAGGCCCACGCAGTATCAGCGTCGTTGCTGATACTGCGTTGCTGATACTGCGTGGGCCACCGGGATAAAAATGACCTCTGCAGCAGCTCGTCGTCACAACATGAACGCCGACGGTAAATTGCCGTTGGGCCTGTCAAGAACGGATGATACTACGGGTAGTAGTCATCGGTTCTTGAGAGGTTCAGCGGGTTGTGATTTACCCCATCCGAATGTATCACCCTATTGGGCTGCGAAATTGCTCCACGCTCTCATGGAACCTGGCGATCTGACGTTCAGGAGGGTTATTTGGCAATACAGCATCGCGGCATACTGGGATTCGAGTGGTGGACAGGGTTTTCTGGTATACTGGCAGTATCTGCCGACTGCCGCTGTAACCCCCCCCCCCATCCCACAGTTACGAAAGCACACGGAACACACCGGAAGAATGCAGCGGTGAATGAATCGAGGAAGAACAGCAGCACCGTTTCGTAAATGACAACGCGTTATTCACTGGTCTGGCATACAACCTGTAGAAATCGTAGTGTGGCGGCTGACTGGAACGTATCTCTACATCAGTCAGTTATTAGTGTCGAATATTGAAATCGCCATAATGTAAAAATAAAATATAAAATCCGTCAAATTCTGTTAACAAACACACACATTAAGTTATTTTTTTCGGGTACACATGCTCAGGGAAAAGCATATATGTGCGGCAGGGACCGAAAAAGCCCGCCACCAGCAAAGTGAATATATCACTAACAGGAAAGTAAGTGCATCTTTGGGGCAACGTATTATGTATAGCAAACATTTCTCAGTTAAAAAAGTTTGTAAAAAAATCGCCGATTCAGCAATCAGCATTTGCAGGAGAACTAGCACGTTGTCCGGCTGAAGGGCACCAGTTTCCAGCTAACACTATCGCCACGATTCAGCCGGTACGTGTCCATTCCGCAGCGGGCAAACTGCCCGTTGACACACAGCATCCAGTACTGGGAACTGGCGTCCGCTTTGACACCGTTAATGCTGTCCACCAGATTCCCGAACGGGGAGAAGAACTGCGTAGTATATTGGAAATTGTTAGTGGCGTTGAAGCGGAGATTCTGCATGGCCAGGCTGAGCGTCATCTGGGCCACGAAATTGTTAACGATATAGGAGCGACCAACGTCGTTGTCGCTGGTCTGCACCAGCAGACGGATCACATCGCCACCGGTCAGCAGCGTGTTGGCGTCGCATTGGTTGTTGCACTGGGCGGTAGCTGGTGTGTAGTCAGCGGAACACTAGAGTAATTTTTGGTAATATGATATTTTTGTTGTTTATTTATGTATCAATTTGTTTAAAAATATTCAAACTGGTTGTCAGGACTCATTACAAAGTATTAACTGTAATATTAACGCTAAGAGGTACCAATAAATTCGTAAATTAATTTAACTCGAGATCCAGTTCGGTATCGACTTACTGGCAGCTTATTCAAATAATTTTATTTAAAGTACTATAATAATTATTATTTCACGTAATAATATCCTCTGGTAGTTTCTGTAAAGGTTCCATAAAGTTAACCCGGGATGCGATAGATAATCCAAACAGAAATAAAATTAAATCAAAACGGATTTAAAAGGTGTCAATTTTCCAAAAATTTCTTGACGGTGTACAAAATTCTCAGAAATACTTTACATGGTTTACTGAATATGATTTCTACAAAAATTACGCAAAAAGCATAAACATAATTTAATATTTTCGATGAACTGTGACAACAAAAAAGTCCAAAATACTAGTTTAATAAAAATCCTGCACTTCACGGTCAGTAAAATTTAGAGGATGTACATTGTACACTTTTCGTGATGGGAGTTACCATTTAAATAAAATAAAATAGTTGAAAACGTACCAGTGAGTACAGCGCTAGCGCGATGAAGATGCCAAAACCATAAGATTTCGTGTAAAACGGCATCTCAGTGATATTTCAGCGGTGAGGAAATAAAATTTAATGACAAGCCGTCACAAGCGAGGCAGCTGATCTTGCAAATGCTAGCCGCTTGTGATATTTTGCATTTTATCTGCACAGAAGTCAAGTCATAAGAGGATTGTTTACGGCCCGCCGTTCGACCGATGACTGTTATGAATTCCTACCGGATATGTGACGAAATTTCAGTGCAGTATTATTCGGTAATCGCGATAAAAAAATGACATCAGTTGCGGACCTGCGGCGTAATATGCATAACTATAGGGAGTGAACAGACACATCTAAAAAAACGTGGCCACAAGCAAAAAAAGAAACAATTCATCAAGAGTTTCGATTACGTTCATTTAACCAGAGCAAGGAAATGGCGGTAAATTTGAGGGCGCACAAAAAGCAGCCTTAAACCGGCAAAATTGCAGCAGTATTGTATTAAATGATATAAAATGAGGCCATTCTAGTAGCACCGGATGGGAGCAGAAGCGTAAACATCATAATGTTCGACAAATATAAAACAAAATTAAGGTCATGTCTACGCGCGAGGATAGTCCCGCGCTATGAGACTGAGTATTGACTACGCGCGAGAGTTTTTCCCCGCACAATAAAACTACGAACAAAACGTTCAAGAGAGAAAAACCGCGCGAAAATATCTTACGGAATATTTTCGACCGCCGGTTATGGCGTAAACTGGAAAATTGTACGGTCCTTCATTTCAATTTTCGAACACACGTCCACCTACGTTAAATTTGTTTTTTCTTGAGGTTATTAAGCTAGGAAACAGAACAGTTATTGTATCATTCAGTAGTATGTGGGCAATTTTCACAGCGAAACTGTTCTGTATCCGCTGGGCATATGCAACCGCCGGCGTATTTCCACCGTATCTGCTGCTGTTACTGTGCAGTGAATGTGCAGTTTTCTTTCACCGTGGTTTTCGTTCGAGGATTCCGGCCCTGCGATCTGGGAGAAGGCGCCAATGTACCGGTTTCGATGATGGTGAAAAACCAGTGGCGCAGTTTATCCTCCCGGACGTAGTTGGCGTTTTGAATGTGCTTGCCCAATAACAGGTCATACGCAAAGGCAAACGAGTATATTAGGCAGTCATTTCCTCGAGATGATTGACCATCAATCGGGACGTACTCGATGCTGATCTGACCCTTGCTGTCCGGATGGGCAAACAGAAAGTGTAGCTGCAGTTTCAACCAGTCCGTGGGCATTTGACCCGTTGAACAATAGATCCGGGCGAGACCAGGGATGCCACAGTTGTACAGCGCGCAAACGTAGTTGTTCTCACCGTGGAACATGCGCTGCACAAGATTTCCTCCATGCAGTCGCGTGTGGAAACGCGGCCTTGCGGAAGCACTGGCCGTTATCCTGGCACAGTGCCAACTCTGCAGGAAGTTCTAACGCTCCTTTCTGGGGAAATGCATTGCGCAGCAGATAGACTCCTGCGTTAAAGAGTCTTAGCTCCAAATACGAGCCGCGTGTTTTCAGATTGTTGATATCCTCTTCGAAGCACCACTAATTCTTCACCCGTTCACCGAATCGGTGTACAACTTCATTCTGACCTTTCACACGTGTAGCCAGTATGCGAGCCGCACGCTTAACGGGCGTTGTTCCTGGACGCGCCGGGCTGTGGGATATTCTGGCCGACGTTGAATGTGCCGCTTTTCATCCCGCTGCCTCATTTCTCGTAGAAATTCTGTAAGAGTTTCGTGTTCTTCTCGACCTTGCCTCTTTCCCATCCGTATTCTCCTCCCTTGGTTGAAAAATTAATGTGTTTCATAATAAGAATGCCGGTCCTACCGATCGACCGGCGCGTTGCGTTGATTGTGTTCGCAATAATTCGAGGTGGTACTTGTCTCTCGATCACTTGCTCCACAGTGTTCTTTTCCGCTTCGGACAGCCGCCTTCTTTCTGGAAAATGTTGGGCGATCGTTTCCGCGACCTCATGGTTGTGGTCTTCTAAAGCCGGCAGGTGAATAACCTCCATCATGCCATTCACAAGCTTAAAGACGGACCATCGCCTGGCAGTCATTTTCAGAGTAGTCGTTATGCTTTTCTTTGTGGGGGCTGAATTCCGCCGGTGTGGGCGGTAAGCGCCAGCTTTCTTGCAGACCAGATTCACTGAGCTGTAGGAGAATGTGTCATGAAGCGGATGCGTCTTTGACGTTTTCGCATTGCCACCGGGATCTATGAAGACTTCGTGCGTTCGCTTGCTCCATTGCTCCACCGCTCTCAAAACCTCCGCATAGAATCCATATCTTTTTCCCACTTTAAAATCTGATGCCATAACGGCTGATAGTTGTGAAAACTTGAATTATCAGGAAATGTGAAATGGCGATACGGTCAGATTTTGTATTTCTTGCACTAAAAGGTGACCTTCCCGTAATTAATAATAATATTATTGGTTGCCACGTCGTGATAAATACACTGGTTTAAACTGTTTGTTGGTAGTTTTTTGTGCGGGAAAAACTCTCGCGCGTAGCCACTTCTAAAAATTAACACAACTCTAAAATCCAACGTCAAAATACTCGACAATTTGCCGATGTTTTGTAAAAATGATAGCGAAATCGTAGTAATGGGATGGCACGCAGCTCAAGGACCCTGCTTTTGGAGATTCAAAATAATAGGATCGATTACAATTTACAGTGTTTGTGTCTGTACCCAGTAGGTGGTTTTTTTTATGGGAAGAAGAAGAAAAAATTGAGATTAGTGTACTCGTAAGTTGTGTTACAAAGGAGGTCGTGACACTCATTGCACTGCTAAAGCATATTTTGCTTTTGCTTTGTGTCCAGGAAGCTCTTAGCTGTATTATGATCATGTATGCAACGGCGAAACCGTTCAAATCATTGATTGGCTCAAGTTCCTGGGATTTAAACGGCACTTCAGCTGCAAATCCGACACGTTCCACCACTCCTGCGACTCGGAAAAACCGCATCCCAGCATCTCTGCCATTTCCGGTAAACATTCCTCTGTTTTAACCTGAAAAATCTTCCGGTACTCTCCTGTCCCCGTGTTCCGCCACCGAACAATTGAACGTACCGGTGATTAAAAAGCTTATGTCGATGCCGACGGGGAAGAACTTGCCCAGCCGGATCAGGAAGAAATTGTCACGGCGAAAGTGGTGGCGCCGGTGAAGAAGGGGAAATACAGGAAAGTTCTGCAGGTGACTGCCGCGGCGTTTTCAGAGCGAGGGATACCGGGTGGTGGAGACGAATACCGCGGGGAAGGAACAACAAAAGAACTTACTAGAACAGTAACACACAGCGATTGCACACTGATCGTGTGTTCTACCGGTAGAAATCGTAGGGGGATGGCTGATTCTGTGTGTGTTCCCGCTTAAGCACGTTCAACTTGGAAAAATATCTTGTACGGTTGCGATCATTTGCTTTGATAATTAATGGGAATGCCTTGCAACTGTTATTTGTAATTACTGTTTTTTAATTGTATTCCATTGTCCAGATATTCGACAGTTGTTCGGTGGTTGACAGTGTGCCCCGTAAGCCTGCTCGTGCGACGGCAAGCCAGGGATCGTCAAGGAACAGCATTTGTATCAGGAATGTCCGCTGCTGAAAATGTGCAGCTATTATGACAACGTCCGTGTTGCTGTTTTAGATTACGTATGTAAGAATAGTTTGTTCGCACGTGTTGGTTCTTACGCCAGTGAGTCTGAAAAAATGTTCACGGCAGACAACTGGCCCCCTAACATCGGGGTGCGTGAATGGCAGTTCACCCCTAAGGAGCAGTAGTTGCCGCTGTCTCGTTTGCATACTTAATCAAACTTCTGTTTTCTAGTACTTAGTTTGTACTTTCACGTGATACTTATTAAAGGTCCAGTGATCAGAATAATCTTATCTGCTCAACGTTGAAGAAGATTCTGGTCTGGGGGCTAAACGGACGCGCAGTCGTTCACCAAAGCGGTGAAAGCTTGAATTTACGTGTTAAAAAAGGACAATTACGGAAGCTTACCCCAGATGGTTAACGGAGAATATTTTATCTTGTTTCTACCAAGTTTAAAATTTTCTGACGGCTTTCAAAAGTATGGAAAACATCAGCTTGTACTTCTGTGTGATGTTTTTTTCGGAACTGTAGCAGATAGTACTGCTGTAATACTGGAAAAAACTCATTATTTCTAATTATGTACTTTTTCTCGTACTGTATTCTTTCCAGTACTCGTACTCGTAAATTACGAGTACGAGTACTGGAAAGAATACGAGTCGTAATGTATTTTTCCTTTCCAAAAAATTTATTTTCGTCTAAAAGTTATAGTACTGGTAATAGTTCATCAGATTTTTGAACTTGCTCAGAATTTCCGAAGCCTTTGATGACATAAAACTCCAGCCACAGCACTACGTTTTCTCTTACAGAATTAAAAATTGCCAGCTTAACTAGACGTTAACCAAGTGATCCAAATTCCGTTAACAGCGTACAACAAATCAGCACAAAATCTGCCAGTGAAATACGCCTTACAAAACCTTTTCAAGGTCTGAGCAATTTCAAGATCAGTAGTAGTTTTTTTCGTATAACAGTCACCACTGAGGTTAACATTCGCAGCGAAGGAACGAAGAACCACAAGGTAACATTTACTGGTAAAGGACTGCAGAGTACAAATCAACTACTACATAATCTTTTTTCCTTCGAATTTCATACATAATTTTTTTTCTTACATACATACATCATCTTTTTTCAATGATTTTTCTGCGTTATTTTGCGTTATTTTAATTTACCTGTTTCATGCCCCAGTGCTTGACGATCGTTGGACGACAATATGTTGGTCCGCTTCGTCGAAAACCGTAGCATACATATACGTCATTCCTAAAATACACTCGCTTACGCTAGTGTCCAGAATTTTCCCTGTAATACAGCGGCCCGAACCGTTGAATTAACTGGAAACTATAGCTTCGAGGAAGCATCTGGCGTCCCCCCGCCCTCCGTCCTCTTCCCCAGTTGACTGCATTCGCATTAAAGAGCGATGGCTGCCGGATAATGGAAAAGAATGTTGCTTAGAAAAGCATACTTTACAGAAGAACGCTGTCGGCGTTTCGTAATTGACCACATAATTATTTCACCGACACAAGCTCCTGTTGATAATATGAATCGTAATGTAATGAGTGAATGCGGATTTCTACAAATGAGTCTTGTTATTGTTTGCTGACTGGAAAATCTTGTAAACTTGTAAATGAAATTATAATTAAGTTTGCTTTGTTAAAATTTTATTTTTCACGGGTAATTGTATCTATTAGCCATTTTTTATCAACTCGTTTTTGCGGCCTGGTGAAGAGCGTGCCGACAATTGTCGACCAGAATAGATGCCGACAAATTTGTTTTATAATTTTTCTTTTGCAAATTTTTATAAAATGTTCGGATATCACAAGAAAAATGACATTTGTAATTACAACAACGCTAAATTCGTGTCATAAGATAACGCTGGATTATAATTTTGCATGAAATTACCTATTAGTGTATCACTGTTCTCGAAGCTTGTTTGTAAAGATGATTTATTTTCTTATCGTTACAGTATAAACTGGTGCCCGCAACTATACTGATAAGAGACTAAGATATATGAGTATTCCGGTGGATATACAAATCGGTGTATTTGTCGCCTCTTGGTTACGGGAAAGCGTTGCAGTTACTAACGTTGTAATTTCACTCTCACGGCTCGAGGAACATATTTATACTGTTTTTGTAACGAAACCGAAACATTTTTCCATAGGAATATCAATTCCATTATCTCTGATTCGCTGAATTATTTTATTGTACCGCTTGGTAACTTGTCTACCTGATTCAGTCGCATCCAGCTGCGACTGGCTTCGGTTTTAGGACTGGCAAGGTTCTAAAGGCAGCGAAATTATGTCGAACATTGTCTTGTACCATTATCCGTCGTCGTATTGGAGCCAAATGGCAGGCCAGGGTCAAAAAGAGGGAGGGAAAATTAAAGGGAGGGATTTTCTTTGGTCAAAACGAGGAAGGGAAAACTAAAGGGAGGGATTTTGAGCGGTCAAAACGAGGAAGGGAAAACTAAAGGGAGGGATTTTGAGTGGTCGAAAAGAGGGAGGGAAAACTAAAGGAAGGGATTTTGAGCGGTCGAAAAGATGGAAGGGAAAAATAATTTTCTTGCTCAAAACGAGGAATATTTGGAAAAGTTGTAACAGGAATTTTTGCAACTGCATGCGACGGTTGGTGCACAAAAGAAAACAGCAAACGCTGAGAGCTGAGAGGATGTGATCAAGCGTTATGCGCAGGTTAGAGCAAAGATTGTATGACCAGCGTTGTTTTTCTCGGCATCATCTGCCACTTTTAACATCTATTTTTTGAGGATTTATTACTGAAAACGTGAGTGCATATGAAAACCTCCCCAATATTTTTAAAGAATTACAGTACATGTGTACGCACTGATTGTGCAGATCCTAAATCATTCATCAAGGGAAGGATCTATACTACAAAATCTATACAATAAAACTATCTACACTACAATATCTATACAAAAATAGGAGAACCTATTAAAAAAGAAGAATAACATAAGGAAACCTAAGAAAACCATTTAATTACGAAACCTAATTAAGAACATAATAAAACCAAAGAAACCTAAGAAAACATTTGCATAACACCACCTCATTAACAAAACCACCTAATTAAGAACCCTAATTAAGAAACCTAATTAAAAACTTAAGAAAACTTAAGAAACCTAAGAAAACGTTTGAACAATACCTAGAAAACCACCTAATTAGGAAACCTAGTAAAGAAACCTAATTAAAAATTGGAGAAAATTATGAAACCTAAGTCATTTGAATAGTACTCGTAACAAGAGAGCATAAGAAAACCGAAGAAAATATTTTAAAATGCACGGTTTACAAAATGAATGGTTTCCGAAATGAATGGTTTCCGAAATTAACGGACACCCTCATCACAACTACATAGAGTCCGGCACCGTTCAAGTGGGAGCAGGGACTATGTACCGTGACGGTACGGCCGTACGTGAGTTATCAGCATGGCTGCATGAGTGAGGCGCCTGTTTTTTTACAGAATCTTAATATTATAACATGAAAACTAATCTCAGTGATAAAGTCTGGGTTCAAGCGTAGTGCTTATATGAAGGGTACTATTCATATTCTATATGCATTACGATTAAAGAAGGCAATGCATACAGTATAATTATGCAATACACAGGTCTATAGTGACGACTCTATACGCAGCGATGTGCAGTACAGGAGATATTCATGTAACTCATGCTCAAACATCTGCCAAAATAATCAAGACTTTGTGTAAATAAGTACAGAGTACCTCTGTTCAATACCTTTAATAAGTATCATAACAAAATCGCATTCTTAAAAAAAACGTCCTTTATGCTATCCTGATCGAGGTGTGTAAACAAATACTTATTTCTATTATCGATACTGAAACATAGCGGAGCGGCATACTTTGTTCTCTTTATGATGATAATAATTATAATTATTATCTTGTAGCTGAAGAAAGGTAGTACAAAGAGTGCACAATAATATTGTGCAGAAGTGGCGTCTTACTTGATTTTATTCGTGATTTTACAGCCATTGCACCATCTGTGGACCTTACAGTTATCAAGTGACAACGTAACAGAAGCACGCATGCGGTGGCCCATGCCACAGGCTGTTTTAACGTAAATCTATGGAAAATTCATAAAATTCGAAACTTTGTTCGTTCCTGCAATAAAGTTTTATGTATAGTCTTGAAAAATGCAGAATAATACACAGTATTAGGCAAAATAAATTCGGTTTTGTTTTTCTTTCAGGGTTTTTTGCACTGTTAGCCTGTACGGCTAGCATAGCCGCCTATGGAGGATTTGTGATAGGCGGCTATGTTAACCGCAGGGGCTCCTAGTGCATTACCCTGAAGAACAAACAGAGAAGCACTTATTTTGTCTAATGCTGTGTATTATTCTGCATTTTTCAAGGCTATATTTAAAAATTTAATGCGGGAATGAACAAAGTTATGAATTTTCATAGATTTACGTTAAAACAGCCTGTGGCATGGGCCACCGCACGCGTGCTTCTGTTACGTTGTCACTTGATAACTGGAGGGTCCACAGATGGTGCAATGGCTGTGAAATCACGAATAAAATCAAGTAAAACGCCACTTCCGCACAATATTATTGTGCAGTGTGCACTCGCACAAAATTCGAATAACTGTGTTCACTGTACTGTAAATAGGTTCCATATTCCGAATGGTGGTGCAGAATTTCCCTGTTATACAGATACTTGTTTTCAAACACTTGACTAGGCTTTTCGTTTTGACCAGACAAATTCCCTCCCTCTTTCGACCGCTCAAAATCCCTTCCTTTACTTTTCTCCCTCTTTTCGACCGCTCAAAATCCCTCCCTTTAGTTTTCCCTTCCTCGTTTTGACCAAAGAAAATCCCTCCCTTTAATTTTCCCTCCCTCTTTTTGACCCTGGCCAAATGGCAAGTATCTAACAAAAAACCAAATAATCAACGTAGGCTACGATAAATTTAAATAGTTACCAAATAAGCTGACGCAGCCAAATACCAAGCGGCACAGTACAGGCAAAGATGGCGTTCGTGGAAAAGGACATTCCCTATATCAGCCAGGTTGTGGAGATCCTCCGCGGTGACAATTACGAGCCGGAGTACGTAGCCATCAATCCCGAGTGCGAAGTCCCGGCATTATGTATAACGGACAATAACGACCAAGTTGTCCTTAGCGTCAACGGATCGCAGCAAATAATCGATTACCTTGATAGCATTAAACCAGGCAGGTTCGGGTTTATACATATTGTATATCCTGTTAGTTTCTGTTAGCAGTGTGATAAACTGGGGTTGCTTGATTTTTGGCGCTGCACAGGAGACGATGACTTTGACCAGGACGTTAAGCAACAAATAACCTCGCTTCGCGTATTTGCGACATTCCGATGGGCGTATGTCGCTGGGAATAGTGCGTTTTCCTCATTTGGTGGAGGGACCAGCTTTGCCGCAGCCCACCATCGAGAGATTCACCCGTAAAATAATTTCACACTGAACTTGTATTACAAACATTTCTACTATGCAAACTATTTACATTAGCGGTTTTATAGAAAGAGTAGACAAGAAGCAGATCTTGATGGATCACATACAAAAGTATCCACACCTGGCGCTGTTTTATCAGATCAAATTAGACAGGGTTATGGCACAGAACAGTCGATCCGACGAAGCATCGCTGCGCGCCGCAGTGCAGGAACTGCAGGACCTTTTGAATGAAGTCGATCAGCAACTCGGGCTTATGGCAAATACGCTAGGCAAGCGCGAAAAATACCCTAATGTTATCCAAGATAATTCAAAGGACCCTGTGGAAATTTTGGAAGAAAGGTTCTTTTCTGATGCATCTATTTTGCAAATTGCAGGTACCGGCCGAGGACAAGAGTACGATGGATGGTTATTTGGGCGGGGCTTCGGCAACGCTGATATTGTGTTAGCGGTGCTGCTGGCGCGCCTGGACCTTCTGCAACGATCCGGCGCTTTTTGGAGCGATCAAAAGAGATCATATTTGGCGCAGTATTACCACCGCTTACAACAACGACCATCATTGAAACAGGTACCAGCGCCAGGAAACCTGTGCACTTTTTTAACTGTAACATACGTTATACGTAATCTACTTTTGCAGGAATGCGTAGCGGTAATGCCATAATTCCATTTAATAATTCTACGAGTAGTTCGGATTCCATATTCCAAACAACGAAAAAGAGGAGAGTTGCGAAGGCTTCTCTCCGAATAAACTTAATCAACCCGCAGCATGTGCAGGCGACAAGTTGAATATTAAAGTCTGGGCATCCACCGATTGCAACGGTTTCAAACTTCTGTGCCCGAGTTACAAGAAGACCATTTTTACAAAAAACAAACAAAGTGCTCACCCGTTAAGCAAGTAAACAAAAACTCATTTCCTGCAAACGTTGCCAATGGCAAACTGCTTTTTATTTGATTTCGGTCAAAAGATCACGTGCAGAAACGTTCTGCAGCAATCTGCTGATTTTGTGACCTCGCAAGTTAGTATCAAGAGTAGTAGATCTGACTTTCGACTTCTGGTAAGAAAATTATGTATCATAAAGATACCGCGCATAGCGGGACAACAGTTCCGACTCGAGTAGACAAGGGCGTACTGCAGCCAGTGATCGATAAATATCAAAATTTCTGAGAAGTGCTTTGATCGGCGACACCTTGACTGGAGCGCAGTTTCCGCGACGTCGCTCCCCGCAGCGATACGGACCACTTGGACGATCCACCTAGCGGGACAATGGCGACACAACGGAAAGTCAACAGCTGGGTCATTCCCACTCGGAATTCCGCATTGCCCATCACGAGAATAAACTGCAACACCAAGGCAGACGTTAGCATCGATTTGTAAACAAGAAACCTGATATAAACATGAACAACTATTCCTCATGTCCCAAAAAAATTATTAAACTCCCCACACCACTGACTGCTTAGGTTTGTACATGAGAACTCGCACACTACGCATCTGATGAACCTTTTAGATACGGCCATGACACTACACATTTCTACTGCTGCACAGCCTGTTTATCTTTGCTCACCGGTGTTCCAGCCTGCGCCAGTCCGAACAAACTCCGTAGCCATAGGAACACGTTCAAATGAGTCCGCCAGTACCATGCCACATATTGTGAGATGACCGTATTAGGCAGATAACACACCAAGTACCACAGGAAGCATATCAGCAGCACCAGCGACAACGCTCGCTCTTTCCGTCGCCGTTTCTGCCGGCGAGCATCGTAGCGTGAGGCAGCCGTTGGCCGGATTTGTTTCTGCTGACAACGGAACGCCACCAGCACAATGGCATAACATAAGCCCTCAATACACAGGGGAACTGTCGTGACGAGGGAGCTTAATATAAGGAACAGCGTGTTATTGTTCACTAACAGCGTACAGTGACCTAGCGGCATCACTTGTCCGTACGAAGCGCCCACACCGAACAAATACGGAACGGATAGCGCTAACGGGAACGTCCAGCTCCAAGCAGACATCAACGCGATGGTGATTTTACTGGAACAGGCGCGGAAATTGTGGGGAAATAATACCGCGGTGCAACGGTTGAGCGCCAAGGAAACTTGAATCCAGTGCGATGCACACGTTAAAAAGTATTGCAGGAAGAAGATGGCGCTGCAGTTCACGTGACTGCCGCGGCCGGTTTGGATGAGGTAGATCTCCGTGTTCGCGAAGAAGCTAGGAACGGCTAAAGTGAAGCAGTCCACGGCTAGAAGCTGGACGATTAAGGGATGGGTACCGTCGCGGAAGTTGTGCTGCTTGATGATGACGAGCATCAGCGCGATGCCGGCCAAGGTTCCGATGATACTGATCAAGGTGGCGCTCCCGTACCATGTTAATAATTCCGCGGATGAAATTAGCGGTGCACGGAGTAGTGTGGAATTATTACCCGCCATCGCTAATTAACGGAAAGTCCGTATTCGTAAATCCATGGTGGAAAGCGGCATATTGCGTAAAAAGTATGGAAATATCGTAGGCAGTAATGATGAGGAAAATCTCATATTTGCCATGAATGACGGTTCTTGAATCCCGGTTTCAGTGACTTTATTGCGGCCATCGCCCGAAAAGTCAAGGAAGAAAGGCGCACAATGTAAACGGAGAGACACAGGTCCTTAGGAAGATGAAAGTAATTGAAAGCCGGTTTCCGTGATTAGGAATACTCGTATCATTCACTAATCAGTGTATAGCCGTGGATTAATCACTGCCGCCAGCTACAATAACACGCTATTTACAGAAAAGGTGCCAGAATGAAAAGGTTGTGCACAGCCATGATCCCCGATTCTCTGCAGTTTTAAGGTTAATACATCGCAAACAAAGCGATAAGCGGTACAATAGTCACGCCATTCTGACCGTCACGTGCAGTGCAACGTTCTTGAAGCTAAAGCGCAGGAAAGACAAATATCCAGGATTTAAAAATAATAATAGTTTCAGCCTTGATCCATATTTGTACGTTATTACTCTGTGTTCATGCACAATGCTTTTCAACAGATTACAGTACATTCAGGTATCAGTCACGAAACCATAACGTAAAAATATGTGTTCCTATAGCACACAACTAAAAATACTGTGCGATCTAGTACACTTCGTGTTGACAACAGCACCATCGGTAGAAAAATTACAATTGCGAAAACTCAATTGTTCGGCCACTGTAGAATCCCATAGAAGTTATCGAAGCGCTTAATTGCCTCAACGGCTGTGATTAACCAAGTTCGCCACAAGAGAGACATTAATTACGGAACAGCCAATGCGTCCTACGTCATGGGTGTGGTTTGGCTCATAGCACCGTTTGTGCGTTGAGACGGTTCTTTTTACGTGTCATGCCTGTCAAAGGGTTGCATCGACCAGTTGGAAAAAAGTCATATAAGTTATCGACACCGGAAATTTACCCAGCACTGCGATTTTTAGCATGTGCAACGGAAGCATACCAAGTCTCGGTTATCGTGTAGGGTGTGAAATATATTATAATCTCTCCCACCATAGTAAGAGCTAAATGATTATTGCACCTGGTTATAGCAAAAATTAAGCTGCTTATTTTGATGAGGTTGCTATTAGGAACCGTTCTCTGTACATAGGTACTGACACACTCAAACATAGCTCTGAGTATCTCATGGGTATATATTAACGCGCTATGCGTAGTTGCGCGTATTACGTACGTGTTATGACGTACGTGGTGTCTGTTCCGTTACGTATGACTTGCTGTTCTTATCTAACGGATTTGATCGCTAATGCGATCCACGATTCTGATTTGCATTACAGTCTGAAGTTTCTGACTTCAACTAAATCTGTGAGCTTGTTTCTAGCTGAAAGGTCGTGTGACTCTAGGTTAGAAGGAAGTTCATATCTCATTCTGTTCTGTTTGTTCGTTCGTTCGGTTTGGTGATTAAACATTTGGGAAGTTCTTGAGTGTTTTGGTTTCGGTAACTTTCGTTAGGCACAGCAATCCGCTCGTACCTTGCGGAAGTAGGCAGTAGTACCACTTACGGAGTCCAGAGCATATTCCCATTCTACCGATTGAGTAGGTTTGGTCATCTAGTGCGGTTGTCGCGGTGCGACTTCCGCATAGCATGTCATGGCGCCCAACGGGTTTTAACAACCCCTGGGAATCTGGATCGTCTGGTAAGTGGTATTGGTTTTTGGCGTTTTGTGTGGTTGTGTTGGTTGACCACGTGGATTCTCAAAGAATCACGTGAGGCAAGGTTCCTAAGTGAGAACCAGGTGCTTGCCCGTAGTGTGTACCGCAGTGACCTTAGGAGGTTACGCGAGGCACGGTTCCTAAGTGCGAGCCAGGTGCTGGACGGAAGTCCGCCTGTACTTGTACTGGTAATTAGTACGGTGTGTACTGAGAGGTGGTGGCGTAAGCCCTGTTATTTGTGTAGCAGACTTACGTCCGGGTTCGGTGACCTGGATTACTTGTCTGTTGTTTGTCAAGCAGGTGCAATGGATGGTACAGTGATTGAACCATCAGCATTAACCGCTGGACAGGAGGACGGTGTAGGAGAGCCGTCAACTGGCAAAAGTAAACCGTCCCGTCGAAAAGGGATGATAAATGTTGACGAGTTTGAAGCCATGTTAAAGAAGGCGGATTATTTATCCCCGCCTACAGTGCAGTGGTTTCTACCTGAAGACGAAAAGGTTGGCGATTTTTGCAAAAGGTGGGAAATTGTTCTCCCACGTACTGGAGAATTAAGTCAAGAATGGGTTGAATATGATCTTAATGGTGGTGAAAAACCAGGAGGTTATGATCAGTGGATTCAGGCAGGAAGGAAGATTCCCGCCCGTCGAACGATCCATCTGACCTTGCATGATTATGATCAGCAATATGGCACTGAACTGCATGGCAAATGGATGCTGTATCTTGCCAACAAGAAGCCTGATCAGTCTGCAGCAGACAGCGGTAAAGCTCGTCCAGGGTCGCATGTGCAGCAAAGCGGTGTGCAAGCTGCAGTAAGTGAGAGCGATGCTCTGTGGGCCAGTGGTTTGAGTGGTACTGTGAAAGATACCACGGTAACTCAACAACTGGACTTGACAGAAATGAATAAGGTTTTGGAGCAAATTAATAATGCTCCAGATTATTCAGCTGTTGTTACTGGAGATAATGAAGATAGCGATACGGAACTGGCTGCTATTGATCAGCGTCATAAGGGCGCTGATTTGCATTACAGTCAGAAGCTTGGCAAAGAAAGCGATGAGTCATCAACCGCGGCTGTGGTTGATCAGTTACGTAAAGAGTTGGATGCAGAAAGGGTGCAATATCATGCACTAGCTTTAAAGTATAACGATTTGGTCGAAAAATACGATGATAGTGTTGATCATCGAAAGAAGTTGACGGATGACGTAAAGTTGCTTACTGTTATGCGGACGCGAGACGCAAAGTTGATGCAGGACGCGTTCGAGCATGTAAACAAAGAAAGCGAGAAGCTTCAACTGAGAGACAGAAATTCCAGCTGGAGAAGCAGCAGGCGCAAAAAAGTTTTCAACAAGGCACAGCTGCCTTGAATAAAAAGTATGCGAGTTTTCTGGCTGAACAAGCAGCATTTAATGTTGCTGTTGATAAGTGGAAAGTTGATCGAATTGATAGACGCCATTCAGTAAAAGATGACGTCAACTTTGTCCCGCATGTTGAAGCAGGTCGACGCAGCGCAGTAGCACAGGATATGGCCGAACCTGTACGAAAGGTGTACAGTGTTGTTCATAAGCCTGCCTTTGTAGTCAAAGATACCCAGAAGCTGGAAGATTTTCTGAACTTGCGTGAGCGTGCCCACAATATGCAGGAATGTTTGGGTGAGTCGCGTAGTCCTTCACCAACGATATCAGAAGTCAGTACGACTGCTTTGAGTAAGATGGAAGCAAAGGTTGCTGAACTTGATCGTCGTTTAAAGGAACAGGAGGCCAAGGGCGGTGGTACTGTTTCCGCTCCGTTTGATATGGATAAATTTACGAATGCTATGAAAGGTGCATTCAGGACGGATACAATGTATCCTGAAAAGTTTGACGGGAAGACAGATACGAATAAGGTTGAGCAGTTTATCCAGAGTGTGGATAACTGTAAAAACCACAACAGTTGGTCTGATGGTGACGTCATCAGTAAGTGCCTGTCGCGCTGCCTTACTGGTACGGCACTTACCTGGTATCTCGATAAGTATGATGCCAATAAGAAGGTAAAGTAGTCTGAATGGAAGAAAATGATCCGAGAACATTTTTCGGATGAGAAAGATTTGATGGCCGTTCGTGATAAGATAGCTGATCGTCATTTCAGTAGTGACGATACACCAAACTCGTATGTTGATTGGTCCACTACGTCGTTCAAAAAGTTGAACGAATCTGAACGTGTGTATTATCTGAAGCAGGGATTGAAGAAGAACCGCTTCTTCTGGTTCAAGCACATGGAAGAGAAAAGAGTGGCTGATGTTGAAGAATTTTTGTCAGAATTGAAGCTGCAGTATAAACTGCGTAATAGTAACCCTATTTCTGGTTACTCTGAGTCGAAACAGTTCGTTGGCAGGAAGCCAGTTGAAACAGATAACGGCATAGGTAAAGCTGCTAGCAGTGAGTCGAAGAAGTCCGAAGGAAGTGCAGTTGATAATGGTAAGCAGGTGACCATTATTTACACGAAGTGGTATTTCCCAGACGGACAACCGATATGTTTTAAATGCCATGGTGCGCATGTGGGAAAGAAATGCACCAGCACGGAACCTCGTAAGCCTGTGACAGCTGAACCACCAGATCAGGTGATTAAGGCTTACATGTTGAAAAAGTCGATGGGAAGGAATCCCGAAAGCAATAATTTGGGATCGTTTTTGATGCGTAGGCCGGAAATGAATTCCTTTACTGTGCAGGATAAACATGCACAAGAATTTACTGCACGGAAGCAAACTTGCGGTGGGGGCGATGCTTCCCAGGTTCAGTTCAGCTCAGCACGCCGTCCGACAGGGCACTCGCTTTGCAGTGAGGGTGCTCAGGCTCGTGTGGGTTGGCGTCGGAAGCAAAGTGGTAGTGCTTATGTAAAGCGCTTGAAGTATATGATCAAGAATCCCGAGGCGGAGATGAATCGGGATGAAAGAGAGGACGTGAAAGATTTTCATGTTTATCGTGGCATTGTGTACCGTAGCAAGGGCGGTAGGTACGGTAGACACCGTGGGTTCGTACCGGATGTGAGCCGCCAGGACTTGTTACGAGACAGCCATGAGAGTTATTATGCTGGTAATTTGCATGATTATTGGTCAGTCCGTAAGTATGTTTTGCGGAATTATTATTGGCCTGGGATGAATGCTGAATTGTGGAAAATCGAAGCACAATGTGAGCAATGTAGTGCTCATGTTTAAGTTTTAGCTGCTACGTTGTGAGTCCGCTGTTCTCTAGTCGGTGGTGTACTGACAGTGTAACTTGCTTTTACTCA